ATTCTTTTGTAGCTTTTTATGCTTTGTACATACACCTTCATTTTTAGGAGTGTGATTTTTATTTTTTCATGCTTCTTGACATTTAATCCTTTGATGGATTCTGTTTTTCATCCTTTTATTTTCCTCACCATGGTCACTTCTTAGACATCAAACATTAATTATGTTTGTCTTCTCACTTTAATGTTAACAATGTTGTATTATGTTTTATATTTTCTTACAGTGTGTAGCTTCCCAACCATAAATAAGGATGTTCTTCCCCAATGGTAATTTGGCCTTTTATCTCTCTGTTAAATAGCTTGAGGTTCTTCCCCAATGGAAATTTGCCCTTTTATATATTCTATATCCATTTTTATGACCATTTTTCTTTTTTATGACAGTTGAACCAAAAAGATCCATTCTTTTTGGTTGTCGTTGATGATCGTTTGCAATTTGGTTCAACTCTTTTTCATCTTGGGACAACATTACTTTCAGTTGTAGAAAAATTACATTGTAGTTATGAGAAGAAAAAAACATGTAGTTGAGACTATTGTATATCAAACAACGTAATTATTTTGATGTAATGGAATGAAATTTGAGTTCAATTTACTTGTGAAACTTTGGGGATCTTGAATGTATTATTTTGCTATATTATACAAGAAAATAATATAATGGGGAATGGTAGTAATCGAGTTGAATTTAATTGAATTGAATGTTGGTCAGATTATATGTGAGACGTACACTGTCACAATTTTCATAAATATATGAGGAACAACTCCCCACAATTTTCATAAATATGTGAGGAACAACTCCCCACTCACGCTTGTGAAATGTGACCAATGCAGCTTGTTACCGATAGATACAATAAGTGACGAAAGATGCCTTGTGCAAAGGTACTATATGCGACGAAATATTCGTCACATATAGAACCAGTATGTGACGAATCGTAAATTCGTCACGTCAAACAATCTGTGACGGGGTATAGGTGACGAACCTTGTGACGCTGAAAATGCGTCACATATTGTCAATTGTGACGAATTTACATGTTTAAGTGACGACTACTCGTCTTCACAGAAGGCCTGTTTTCTTGTAGTGGGAATATAAGTACAAGAAGACATTAGGGGGTTCTAGGAGCACTCTCAATCTTAGGCTTTATTTGGGGCTCTAAAAATTGGGGTTTGGAGCTTCATTTATAGCTCCTATAGAATATTTTGAACTTTAAACATATCTTTCCCACAATGGGGTACTTTAAACATAGCTCTGATAGAATATTTTTTAATGTATGTATATGTTATGTTAGTTTTTGTCTAATTAAAATTTCCAACAAAAATTAAAATTAAAATTGGACAAGATTCCGAAAATTACATTTGTTATATAATAATGGAGGTAGATGGAGCTAGGTGATATTCTTTATGACTTTGGATACCAACGTCTACATTTGTCAGATAATAATGGAGGTAGTTGGAGCTGGGTATTCTTCTTCATGGCTTTGGATCCATATCTCATTTACATTTGTCAGATAATAATGGATGTAGTTGGAGCTAGGTCTTCTTCTTTATGGCTTTGGATCAGTATCTCATTTACATTTATCAGATAATAATGAAAGTAGCTAGAGCTGCTATGTTAATTATGGCTTTGGATCTCTATCTTATTTGATAAGATTACATCGCACGTTGTACTGTCCCTATATATAGAACTACTTAGAAGAAGAAAAAAAAATCAATTCCAGGCTTAATTTAAGGTTTAAATTTGTGATTTTAGTCATATTATTTTTATTTTTAACTTTATGAAATTTTAGTACAGTGAAATAATAGTGAGTGTCACACAAACTGTTATTCTATAGCACTATCAGTGAGTGAGAGATTTATTTTTACACTATTAACATGTGTATGTATTATAAATGTTAATATAACATGATTCCCATATATTTTTTTGAATATAGAAAGTCATTTTTATATACTTGCCATTTTTAAGTTTTTTTTAATTGAAAATGACAAAAATGCCCCTATGTGTTTGATTATTTTTGTTACCAAATAAAATATTTTTATGTTCCATATGTCCATAAAACATATTTTTCATCTATTTGTGAATGTATAATTTCATTCATACCTATATTATTTTTGGAAGTTTTTGTGTCAAATTACCAAAATGCCCTTTCATGCTTTATTAAAAGAAATAAAAAGCATCTTTGTATTAGCCAAAATTCAATGAAAGTATCTACTGCAATGACTCACCCTTATTAAACACATGAAACACAATCTCTAACCATCAACTCACCCAAACTTTGTCCCCTAACTAATCCTTAGGAAAACCAAACCTAGCAAGATTGGCTTGCAGAAATTTTAAAACATAAAATAAAATTTTGTCGTTGGTCACTTTAAACCCTTTGTTTTGCTCAAATCCCAGCTGTTGGATTACCAATGTTAAAAAGGTAAACGGTAGGATGGGCAAATTGAAAATCCCAGGTGCGCTGGGCGAGTGGAACATGGAGCTAGGTTGAGCTCACTTGCGCTTCGACTTTCTCATGGGGGAATTTTTAATTTTTAATTTCTATATGTTAGAACTCCGTAGTGGTTGAGCCCACTTTAAAGCCTCCTTTGGAGATGCTCTAATCAGGGGCGGAGCCACATACAGGCCTGTAGTGGCCATGGCCCCCCAAAGTTCCATGAAAAAGCCAATAACTCTTAAACATATGCTGCAATATCAATTGAAATATAAGGCTATAAAACTTTATAATTACAATACTCACCCTCCAAAAGACAAGCTACTAGCTCCGCCACTAGCTCTAATGTAAGTCAAATTCGTATTCCACATTGGATATACTTTGAAACCCTATTTCTAACAAATTACCCTAACTTCCGTTGAAAGTAAATAGCACGCCACGATTTGCTAGATATCAGTGTTAAGATTGATTTTGGAGTGTTTTTTTTTTACTGTATCGTCTGCATAACCACATACACATGTGGGAGCTAAATATTATCTAAAAGATATTACAACTCTACAAGCAATTATTACCCTTTCAAGTCAGTTAAATCGACCTTATTTTATGTTTAATATGTTATATTTAATTTTTATACAGCTTTAATTTTAATTCCATTTCATTTTTTTTTATCATTATTAAATTGTGTTCTTATTGTTCTCCGACAATCACAAAACAAAAACGAAAAACCCAAGTGCCAATATTGGGTGCTTTTATTTTATGCGTAGCTCAAGCGCACATGGCTTCTTGGCACACGTGTAATGTGCACATTGCAAATGGATGTTCTAGAACAAACATGTTAGGGTTGTAACTGGAATGGCATTTTGGATAACAGATGCGATTCCTAAACAAAGTTATTCTAGTTCTTTTTGCCGAAGAAGTTTCTGAAAGGTATGGCAAAGAAGTGCAACACAATGCAAGTGTGATCTTAATATGAGGTATAGTAGTATACTAGTATATATATAGGTCTAGAGTAGAGTATATATAAGAAGCTAATAACATCAAGATTTCTGAAGTTCCATCTTGCATTAATGGTTTCTCTCTGATTTTATTCAAACCAAATCTGTGTTCAAGTCCTACTAGTGTTAAGAAATAAAACCTTTTTTTTAATGATGCTTGATGAGTTGATGTTCTGATTATAAAGTATCTTCATCTTTGGAAAAAAAAACATATAATTAACATATATTGTTCTACCCCTCTTTCTTCCTCTGGTGCATTTTACTACTTAAAATGTCATATTTTTCTTCCAATCTCTTTCATTTTTTTTTCTTGTGTTCAATCATTGCTTTATATATAAAATTTTTAAACATTTCCACAAGTAAAATGAAATTTTTTTTAAGGCCTAATTTTTGTTACTAGTTGTAAAATGTGTACATTCTATATACACACGTATAAATGAAAACACATAACATATTTTTACTTGTAAGTAGTCTTGCATTTATAGGGCCTTCATTTTACTTTGCCCTGGGCCACCAAAATCTTAGGGCCGGCGCTGACCAAGGCCCCCCCAACTGGTGCATGGCTGTCGCTGAGGGAACTGATACGTCCTCACATCAAACCCAAAGAGCAAACTACTCGAAAAAGTTCGGATTAGCCATAGATGCCCGCAGCCTCAGTATGAGAGTAATATCCAGAATGATGGACAAAGCAAACAGCAGAATGCAAGATTTTCAAAAGGCAAGGAGAGGAACCACAGTACCGAAGAAGTTACTGAAACATTTGAGCACACAACACACCAACTTAAGATTTTGAGGACAAGATACATTCTCCAATTCACCAGAGGCATATTTTCTCCCCTCAAAATATTACTCTAATGCCTAGTCAACTAATTGACAGTTCCTTCCATAATATACAGGGGAATGACAGAATGAAACTGTCTGAGGTTGAAATCCGAGTCCGAGAGAAAGAGAGAGACCTCCACCCCAAATCCCGTTGTATATTGTTCCAAGCACAGATATAAGACAGAATCAGGAGTGGTGTGAGCGAAAAAAAATTTACAAGCTTCCATGTTTTTTGTACTACAAATGCTTTTTGCTTCTGCTAAGTTCTAATATTTGTCAAGTGGGCTCCAATGTCCAGCTTTCTGGACCTCAGACTTACTCCCATAACCATCCTTCAATCAAGGAAAGTTTATAACATTTGTCCTCCCACTTGATTGAACATATATGATACCTGGAATGACCAAGAGGCAACCAAACCTGCAAGAATCTATATTGATTCAAAAATCAATAACCGAAGCTCAGATGAGCACAGAACACACACAAACAACTGAACAAGGGCAGACAACAAAGAAAAGTGGGGATCTTAAGAGAACCTAATTTCAGAAAAGTTGCAATAAGTATTATTATCACTATTTACTATGAAATGTCAGATCCAACTCATACAAAGTAATCAGTTTCATTAGCAATACTGTTAGACTGAAAGTGAATAAAGTTTGTCTCAATTGTCAGTTATATGTCAGTGCATCTAGAAGGTATGTTCAATTGACTGGCATGGAGAAAATAAATTACCATTTTCCAGTACTCTCTCTGAAGGAGGAAAACCACTATATGTCCAAATCATCATCAGGATCCTCATCAGAATCTGGCATCTCATCGTCCGAATCACGAAAATATATTATTTCACCCTTGCTAGAGTCATCATTAATTTTTGAATTCCCAGTCGAAACAGGTGCTGCCTCATATTTGCTATCCATCAGAGATTTTCGACCATCATAAATTTCTACAGGTTTACCATTTCCTGCAAGAAAAAGTCAAAAAGTTTGTTTTTGGAGCATCACAATCATGCAGATAAAAGGGAAGAGATCAAATAATGTAACCTTTTTTATATATAAAAAATATAAGGTTTCCAAACCACTTATATCCATCCATGTTTTCATACCTTGGTGTTCAAATGGAAGTACAACTTTGGCCCTATCATTTCGCTCTTTCTCTGACAGTTGTAGATTGAAATGCACCTGTAGAGAAGAACAGTTTTTAAAATAAAAATAAAACTCATACAGAGAGTTCAGACAACTTCATTATCTGTGTGCACAATAAAACTTATTCACTAGTGTACATTTGTTTATGTCCATGTGTCTGCATAATGTCTAGTTATATGTGTTACGCGGAAGTCATTAATGATTCAGTAATCATTTAATTGTATCAGAATAGACTCAGTCAGCAATTTAGAATATCGCCATGTAATAAAACTGAAAAGAATCAATTAAAAGAAGGCTTAATTCCAAATAAGAAAGTGTGTTCTCCTGGATAATTTCAGTTTAAGATAAGGTTAAACAGGTGACCTTCGGCAAAAGGGCTTGATTGACTTGATTGACTAATCCATCTTCTGATGAAGGGGATGTGAAGTCGATGCCTGACTGCCCAATGTGAATCTCTTCAAACTGATTACAAGTTTCAGGGGCTTGTATTAGTTTACCAACTTTCCAGATCAGTAAAAGAATTTCAGACACAGAGAGAGAGAGAGAGAGAGAGAGAGAGAGAGAGAGAGAGAGAGAGATCACCATCACTCGTACACGTCCATTTCTACGTTTGCATCGGACATGAAATTTCCCTTTTGTAAAATTCCGTTCAACTAAAGAAAGATTCTCTGAGTTACCTCTTTGTCGATTTGCAAATGGGATTAGTGGTTCTATGCTGGCCACCATAGAGGACATATATTCAATAACAGCAGTGACCTTTTCTTCACAAAGATCGGCATGAAGAAACCAAAAGATACTTGAAATTTGATCTGCAACCATAAGACAAAAGTGAATTTGCAGACTCCAAGAGTTGAATATGTGCAATAAGTAAACCATACACTTCATTAACTTCCAAAATGAGGCATGCACAATTTTACATTGAATTGCCAAAAGTATATATTACATCATCCAAAAGGATTATTTACACGCTTTTTATGATAGCAGCTAAAAGCTCAGGGCAAAAGAGATTAAGTGTGCACTAAACTTATTGAAATAGCAAATGACTAGAAAACATATATATTGAAAGCCTACGAAAACAATCAATTTTTATTGGAAAAATATTGAGGAGCTAGTAAAGTTTATATACCACAGCAACGAAGGTTACTCAAAAGGCCAGCAACTGATGACAAAGATGCATGTCTTAACATTTCATTTACCTGAAAAATTTGAAAAGAAACCAGCAAAAAAGAAATGAGTGGGAGAGGGAAGGAGGGAGAGACAGAGAAACACCAGAAGTAACCATAAGCAGAATTTCGAAAGGTGGGCAAAAACAAACATATCCTCACAGGACCTATTTTCCAACATAGACATTAAGCAAAACAAAAAACAAAAATCTCCTTATCCACTTGAGAAATAGTCAGTATGAACAAACTTTAGGGCATTAGCAGGCTTTTACTCATGCAAATGGAACAATGTGCTGATACACATCAGTTATATAAGGAAAGGGTTTTGTTTCCCAGTTCAGGGAAGTGTAGTTCAAGAGAGGAAACCATACATTACATCAATAATCATCCAACATTTGTACGGTTGAGAGGTTGTAAGACTGGCTATTCTAAACTAAACACCTTTTTCAAATAAAATTGTGGACTTAAGCTGTATTCTTCGCCAAAAAAAAAACATAAAAAGATAGAAGAAGGGAAAAAGAAAATGGGACTACGTAAGTGCATTAATCACCCCAAATCTGGTAGTAATGTAAATTAAAAATTTATAATAACTTCTTATCATCAACAACAAGAAGAGGAAAACAGGTATTGAACTATCACAAATTATTAAATACTCTAACAGTAAAACTATGGAACATCCATACCATGCTAAGATGAAACCCAGTGTCCTGTCAGATATTTTTTAAAAATGCTTCGTGAAGACTTCTTATGGATAACAACCAAGAGCAGTGCATCAAGAAGGCACCACAGTTGCCTGCTTGTCTAAAGATAGACAAAAGAGTATCATAGAAGCCCATGCTTTCTACTGTGACATCGAAAGCAATTGACGTCCTCCTCAGTAAACTAAGGAATTCAAAAGAAATTGTGGTTAGCCATTTCGGAAAATGGCCCCAATTAAAGCAGCTCGCATATTCAATAATTTTCTAGTAAAACAACAAACATACTAAGTTCCATAAGGTGTTTAATCTCTATGGCTGAACCGAGCACACCATCGAAATTTGTACTGAAATATTTGTTGAAAGTTGAAACCCAAAAGGAAGTTTCTAAGCCCCAAACATAGACAGGATTCTTAGAGTTACAATGCAAATTTCTTGTCTCTGGAAAGTCCTTTAACTCAATAGGAAGTTTCCAAACATCACACACAAACAAATCAAACTACAGTAGAAAATTACAGTACAGCCCTGCCACACTGCACCAGCAGGCAAACTTAAACCTTCCTTCAACCTCAATACTAAGTCTCATAAGGTGTTCAATCTCTACGTCTGAGCTGAGCGCACCATCAAAATTTCTGCTGAAATTTTTGTTGAAACCTTGAAGGAAGTTTCAAAGCCCCAACCATAGACAGGACACTAAAAGAGTTACAATGCAAATTTCTTTTCTCTGGCAAGTGTTTTAACTCAATAGAAAGTTTCCACACATCACACACAAGCAGAAATCACAGTACAGCCTTGCCACACTGCACCAGCAGGAAAACTTAAACCTACCTTCAACCTAAAGTACTAGCATTGACCCTGGAATATTTCAAATATCATATATATGCAATCACAGGATGCATAATTACCGAGTCTATTGCAACACTGAAACGAACTTTCCCTTGTCCAACCAATCCTGCAAGCATACAACCAAAAAGAAATCCACAATTACAATAATACTAGAATTATGTGAATGCTTACATGGTCAAACAGGCATCTTACTACAAAAACAAAATCTGCCAATGCATGTCAGTACAAGTAGAACCAATAATACCTTTTCCAAGTGAAATAACTGAAGAGAACAACTTGTCCACATCCTTCACATTCCTGCAAGTACTAGCTACGTTGGAAGCTTCATGAGAGAGATTTTTAGCACTTCCACACTCCATGAGCCTCTCTCTCCAACCAAGAGGATCCGTGTAACAATCCAAAATCCGAATCCTGTAATGCTAGTTCAGTCCAGAGGTCCCCATGAATTATATACATTATCTATGTGCGTTTATTCATTGTGTAACGTGTATTACTTTCAGCTTAAAGCACTGCCAAATTTCTCAAACACGCATATTGGCACAACAAATGAATGCTTAGTTCCAGTTTCTCAGATTAAAACAATAAAACCAATGTTTGGTCACGTTTTGTAGAGGAAAAATCTTTTTTTTATTTTTAAATTCCTTTACTTTCTGATTTTTTTTTTCCTTTTCCAATTTTCTCAACAACCAAACAGAGTGGAAAGCACGGAAATTTAAAAGAAGGCTATCGTTACCACTGCTGAGATGAAGAAATATCGAGTCCTCTCCTCTTCAACAAGTCTACATAATATGAAGGACTCCGAGAAAACGCGACGAGCACCAGAGCTCTACAAATTAAATCAATAGCAAAGAGAATTTTATTCAAATAATCTACAAACAGAGAATTACACATTTTAACCTACGAAATGGAGTTGTTTCGGGAGAGGCAAACTGACCGCGACTGAGATTTTTCGGCTGAAATGTTGGTGGAGAGCTGGGAGAGAACGTGGCAGAAGGCGTCGAAGCCGAGAGGTGTTGCTATAGAGTCCTTGATTGTGAGAGCGGGTGCATGCTCTCCCTCCAACGCACCGTCTCGAAGGGCTCTACAAACCCATTCCGCCATTGTTGCTGGGTACTTTGAGTTCGAGTTCTGTAGGAGTATCTAAGCCCTAATCTGCTATTCAATTAAACGTAATTTTCACTTTACCAACCGAACTTTTACTCTACTGCTTTTAAAAAAAACACACGGTTTTTATAACGAATGATCCTTAAATTTTTCAAAATTCTTCATTTCAGCCCTTCAATTTTCAAATTAAACTTTCAAATCAATCAATTTGGTCCTTAATCTTTTGATCCATATGTGAGTTTGCAATTTGCTATATGATTTTCTAGATAGAACCTAAATGTGAAACCCTAATTGAAGAGTATATCACATTATTGAGTAAAAACGTGGGTTTTAGAACTAAAATGAGTTATATTTTGATTATAATTGTGGGGGCCTTTTTGTTTAAGCAGCTCTAGATGGACTTGGGCTATTATAAAAGAGAGTGAAGTTGTCCCTTTGCCTAGGTTCAAGAACTAAACCCTAAAATACCCCGAAAGAATATTGATTCTTAAGGAGTACTCTGGTTTTTCTCACCAAGCAAATAATGATCAGTGAATCAGGAGTTTAGGCTTGGCTTGAGTGGTTTGTGGCGTGGGAGCTGAGTCTTCATAAGTTTAGCGAGAGAGTGTTTGCTTGAGTTGAAACAAGATACTGGATAAAAGATATTTTAGGGCTTGGAATGGTTTCTAGTTTCTGGGAGAAGAAGAGGATGGTTTGTGGGGGAAAATGAGAGGATTAAAGAGTTAAGCTTGAGTGTTTCCAGCAGTGGGTGTATGGCTTGCTCGGTGTCTTGGTTTTTGTCCCCCCATTTTTTGGGTAAGCCACTACTTCCTTTTATAGCAGTTGAAGCTCAAGCAAGTAATGAATGAGCAGCCTCAGGTTGGTGATACAGTAAATCAGTTTATGACTGAGGTTTTAGTGCTAAGCAGTTGAGGGTTGGGCAGTGATTGCTGAAGTAAAATTGGCAATAAGTCTGACCGTGGTTTCAGTGGTGGAAAGTAAGAAGTTGGGGGTTGTGTAATAAATGATGGCAGTTGGTGAGTGCTGGAAAAAGACCACAACTCTCTCTACTTACCCATTGAGCGGGCTTAAGAAAATGGGCTTGGGTTTTGGGGCTCCTAAGCAACCCAAAACCTCCATTCTTTTGAACCTTTAATGGGCCTCATGGATACTTGTACCCATCCACACCACAACCCACTTAGCAAGTCCCATGCACAAATTTGGCTTGGGCCAACTTAAGCTTCTCGGATGATTCGACCCTGAGAGAGAGTTGCTTGTCTTTTGCATGTTAGTTGCATGCTTATGCGTGGGTTTGTTGTGTTGTAATGGCTTCGGCCTATTAATTAAATATGCTTGATTAAGCAACGAGTTAAATGGACTCGGGATATGAATAAAAATGGTTAATTTCATGTGTTTACTATGACCTCCCACGTGCTAAATTACAATATCTTCTAGCGCGGCATGTCTATTTCAAGTAGGCTTCTCTACAGTAAGTCAAGGCATTGGGCCTAGAATAAGCTTGTCACGCGATGACACGTGACCAATTTTAATGAAAGTTTTGTCTGAATGTGACATTAAGGACCAAATTGTTGTCTAAACCAAAAGATCACATTGATTAATTTGAGAGTTTGAGGATTAAAATGAGGACTTACAACAAAAATGGATATTAAACTAATTTGTGAATTAAAACTCTTTTTAATTCTCGCCTTTATGATGACCTAATTATTGTAGATTTTCACAAAGTCAAAAGTGATACCTAGAAATATGTTAAAGCTACTCAAGCTAAAATAAAATGGATAACATATTCAATTATAATGACAATGCAATACAATCCTTATCTTTTTTCCCAATAGTCTCTAATCACATTAATATGATAAGGAATTCATGTCAAATCCGTAATGTAAATTTCTATGACTTATAGGATTCACATGGGTGTGATTAGGAACATTTTTCTCAATCAAACTAAATTCTATCTCCAGATATTCCCGAATCACATCTTAGATTATTCTTTCTTTACTTAGAGATGTCATGTTGTACACTCACATGGCATCATGAGTCAATCAAGGACCTTGACAATGTCTTAAGTCAAGTCCTTGATTGAGTTTGATTATACGACAAAATCTAACATCAACCGCATATCCACAAGGCAACCATAGTGCCTCAGGTCTAAGGATTGACATGTAGGTAGACTTTCATTCAACATCTATTTATGGATTGTGTTGTACTCACTCTCTACTGAGCACCTATATACTTATCTTAGTGTCCCCACATGAATGACTTAAGACAAGTCATCTCTCTAATTGCGTAGATATAATGCATGCCAGTTTTTTCGGATCGGCAACACCCAATTAAATAATTCTATGACTAGAAATTGTTTATGGTGTGAGCCATAAGGAAAGGTCTTCTGAACCTAACTTCTCAAGATCACTCTCCTCATCTCACAAGCCATGGGCTTGTCTTTTGGGTAAATAACTATTAATAACACTAGTACCGATTTTCAATAGTCTACATTAAGTACACCTGAATTTTCAAATTCTACCGAAGTCTTTTATATTCTACCTAACTCTAGATTGACTAGACTCTTAGTGGTATGTGTGGTAAAAGGAGTTTATGGATTTGTAACAGATTTCCTACATCCACTATGCCAAATTTTAATTTACACAACACCACATAGGCATCGACAAATTTAAAAACCGATGTTGTTAGTATCTTAGGCATCGATTTTATAATTAATAAGACTAAAGGGATATAAAGTCATCAACACAAATTTTTGACGTTTCTTACCGATGCCATTGATTATACTTTAGCATCGATGATATTTTATACTCATGCATAAAATGATTTTCAAGAAATTTGTTTTAAGTGGAACATTTAGCACTGATGCCAAAACTATGGTTGACCGCTACAGTGATTTTTTGGCAAAAAATTTTCACTCCCTCACAAATATTTCAGACTCCCTCTAGTATTTTTTTGTCCAAAACTTAAACTCTTTCATCTCTCTCTCCTCTCTCGCGATACCCACACTGCTCCCTCACAAACTTGTGGATGTATCTTTTAAAAATGTCCATTACAATTGTGGTACACATGGATGTTGAGGTAATTCATAATTTTCATATAACAGGGGCACAAGTGTTGTACATGACAATTGACACTAGGTACAATTTGTCTTAATATCTTGGAAAAATTTGGTGTAAAGGAATGGAAAAAGGCTTGAAGATGAGCTGCCCCTTGAAGCAAATGGAGACTTTGACTAATTGTGGCTTCTATTTGTTATTGTTGGAGTTTTTCTTTTCTTTCTAATTTTATGTCTTTCTTTTTAAGGTACAATAGACACTTGTTTTGTCGTTTATTGGATAAATTCATTTGATTATTGTGCTCCTCCTATGCCACTACCGATAATTAATAGTCAACACAAAAACTTCGGTTATTATTAGCTTGCTTGCTTTGTGGCTATTTCTTCAGATTTTTTTATTTAAAAAATCGGTTATTTGTATAAAGTAGTATGAAAGTTTGATATGAGAATAAGAGGAGCACATGATTGGAAAACTAATTCGATTATGTTTGTTTTTTAGTATGCGCACAGCTTTCTCATAGACTTTTCTCTGATCAATGGTCCCTCCACTTTGATGTTTTTAGGAGAAAAATATATTGGAATTATGTACTGAAATGAAATTGATGGAAAGTGAGAGGTTACTATTTGCGTGATGTAGGGGTTCAAAAGTGTCCCACCTGAATTCTTGACACTATGTCACATGGTATATTGTAGGTAACAAGTTTCAACAAATGCAACCTCTCCGAATAGAAAGATACTGAGAAAGGTTTTTGTCATGAATGATCCTTGAATTTTTCAGAAGTCCTCATTTGAATTCTCAAACTTTCCAATCAATCAATGTGATCCTTAACCCTTTTTTTGGATGAAGAAATTGAAACCCTGAAAAGCAAAGGAAAAAAATTACATATGTTGCTAAACAAGGCTATGTACTCTCCTTGATGAAACCTAAATGTGAAACCTTGAATGGAAAGCAGATGATTTTGTTGAGCAAAAATTTGAGTTCTAGGACTAAATTGAGCTATATTTTGATGAAATAAGTTGGTCAGGTGATGACACGTGATCAGTGATGTAGAACAAATGACAGATTTTATCGCGGTTGAGCTAGAAAAAGGACGTAGCGGGAATTTGCAGATTTGTCGTCCGAGCTTCGATTAGGACACAAAATACCATTTCGAAAAGGGAACGACGCCACGAGTCAAACTCACAGCTTTGCTGTGATGTATGATGAATTTTGGCATTCTGAGGTCGTTTGGTCTTCCAAAACGGCATTCAAAGTTTCATAGTTAATTTTCTAAATAAATTATGTTTTTCAATTTTAATGTAATAACTCCCCTAGCAGCTCAAGGGTTGAGAGATGTGTATTTAGTCAGAGTTGGTGAACGTTTTCAGTATCTCAAATTTTAATAAAATTATTCCAAGAGAATTCCTCTTAATTACTGGTGGAATCCAGATTTCTTGTTGCTTGTGCTGCGTCAATCAGTTTTAACAAAGTTTTGTTGGAATGCAGCAATAAAGACCAAATTGATGTGAGACCAAAACATAAAGGACCTATTGATTGATTTGAACGTTTGAGGACTAAAATAAGAACTTTTAAAACAAAGTACCTGTAATAAAAACTTGTGCTGAGAAACTTGTTTCATTGTTTGACGAAATTGTGGATTGACATTCATGCCAACGTATTATCATCACAACAAGAGAGAAGACTTCACCTGCTTCTTGATGCCAAAGCTAGCTATCCATATGTTACTGTAATGGAAAAATTGTAATTTTATGTTAAAACCAAAAAAATGAATAAAAAAATAATATCTTTAAAATAACAATAAAAGAAAATCAAATAAAAAAACCAACCTAAAAAAAATAAAATTTGGAGTAGAAATCGGGATAGAAAGGGGGAGAGAGAGAGAGAGATAGAGAGTTTAATTTTAATTTTATAGTTTTTTTTTATTTTTTATTCATATTTTAATCAATTTGATACAAAAATACCATTTTGTCCCTATATTTAATAAAAAAGTTAACAAAATTGACGGTAGGACCATTGTCCTAATGAAACTAAAGTTGACGGACCACAGGAACCATTTTGGAAATTGAGGGACTCAAATGCAAATCGGTTTTAAATTCAGGGACTAATAAAATGATTAACCCCTATTTTAAATGAGAGTAGAGAAATCATAGAGAATACAGAGGGGGAGGGAGGGCGAGGGGGGCGGCGGTGGTTGATTTGGGGATGGGGTGATATCTGGGTAGTTTTACCCAAAGACAGAGAGTAGAGAGAGATGGAGGGATCCCAAGCCTCTACATTTAGAATCGATGCATTTATACACATTTAGAAAAATATCAACTACTTGATTAATCTAACAAATTTTAAGTAATCCACGTCAATATAATTGTCATAGACAAAAACTCTCACTTTGCACCTTATCATTGTAATAGTCAACACAAAAACTTCGGTTATTATTAGCTTGCTTGCTTTGTAGCTATTTCTTCAGATTTTTTTATTTAAAAAATCGGTTAGTATCAAGTAGTATGAAAGTTTGATATGAGAATAAGAGGAGCACATGATTGGAAAACTAATTCAATTATGTTTGTTTTTTAGTATGCACTTTCTCATAGACTTTTCTCTGATCAATGGTCCCTCCACTTTGATGTTTTTGGGAGAAAAATATATTGGAATTACACATTGAAATGAAATTGATGGAAAGTGAGAGGTTATTATTTGCGTGACATAAAGGTTCAAAAGTGTCCCACCTAATGTGGTATAGTCCTCTAGTCTTTCTCCAATGAGTTTTAACACCCACACACACGTTCCCCCAACCAAAAAAGGAGCCGTTCATTGGTATTTGAGTCTTCCTCTAGTCTTCATTGATTGATTGGTAAAAGTCTTCCTCTAGTCTTCATTGATTGATTGGTAAATGGCTTCCTCAAAGTCTTATAAACATCCACTTTTTTCCCACTCCTTAGAACAAAGGAGGAGGACATGTATTTTACTTTTTCATTTATGAGCACATGTATATCCTTTTCTGATAGAGAAATGCTAGCAACCTTCTCTCTAACCTTCTCCTTTTTTTGCTTGACATGTGTCATTCTCCTTACACTTAAAATAATGTCATTAATATATTATACAAATTAACTTTTGCTTTCCAAGTTTACCCTTATTCAATTTATCCACACAAAAATTCACAACTTTCTTACAATCTTTATATATTTGTTTAAATGTCAATTATTTTTTTTTAAAGAAAATGTTTGCTTTTTTCAAAAAGAGGAAATGTTCATTTTTTTTAAACGCAAAGGACTTTTGTTTTTTTTTCTATCTAAACCCTTTGTGTTATAAATTTAAAAAAAAAGAAAAAAAAAGGGACATTTCCTCTTAAAAGCATATATTTTCTTTAAAAAAAATTATTGACGTTAGAAAAAAAAAAGATGGTAAGAAACTTGTGAAATTTTTTTTGGATAAATTGAATACATTTAATAAGGGTAAACTTGGAAAGCAAAAGTTAGCTTGTATAATATATTAATGACAATGTTTTTAGTGTAAAGAGAATGACACATGTCAAGCAAAAAATGGAGAAGGTCCAAAGGAGAAGGTTAGAGAGAAGGTTGCTAGCATTTCTCTTTTAAGTATGAATAGTCCATTTGGACGTCAATACCCAGGTTGTATGTAAACATTAAAGTGGGAGTGGGTTTCTTGTTCCAAAGAGGCATAAATCGTCTTCCCCAATAAGCAAATCTAAAATAAATCGATTTACCTTAAAACAGCAACATAGAAACAAGGATGGTATGTCAAATTTATTTTAAAACATAGACGTAATAAGGCTGGAACTACGTCCATTTTTATTTATCAAATCGACATCGTAATATTCATACCACGTAAAGTAAATAAGACACAATATTTAACGAGGTTCAGTCTTGCCTACGTCGTTGGAGAGCAACATCAGTAATTTTTCCACTATGTAAAAGAATAAGACTACAAACTTTAGTGTTCACAATATATGTGGCTCACTGATTTTTTTCTCTTGGAGAATTTCTCTTTGCTCTTTTTTTCTCTTCACTCACTCACTCACCCTCTTTCTTCCCTTCCTTTCTTTCCTCTCTGCCAGGGCTCTCATTTCTTCTCAGATGGTGTGTCTCACGCAAGGGAAGGATGAAGCTTTTTTATAGGCAAAGTGGATAGCTTCCCATGGATGTGTAGTTGGCTCTCAAGGGAATATAGCAGACAAACTTCATCACTATTTTTCTTCAATCAATTAGATAGTGGGCTCTATCATTTTTGGGCTCACATTCTTGACTTCTCAACAAATTATTGAATATGAACGAGAACAGTGTCTTCCTGCTTTACTTTCAAGACTATTAAAGCAAGCTATTGTTCCATCTCTCTCTCTCTCTCTCTCTCTCTCTCTCTCTCTCTCTCTCTCTCTCTCTCTCTCTCTCTCTCTGTGTGGCTCCAAATATGGCTGACCAAGAACTGGGCGAGGCCACGGTGAGACCGCAGGCTGATAGTGTCAGCATGGCTGATGACAATGATGACAATGTCAATACGGGGTAGATGTAGAAAATGGGGCGCAATTTGGAAATGTTTGTACTAGGTTGGGACGGAGTGTAAAGGAACTACTATTGTTTATACCAAAATGAACACCCAATGAACATCAAGCACGTGGACTAAACCAGGGCTACGTGTGCCTTCGGCACTCACCTTCGGTACAAATCCTATCGATCGCAACATTAGGGCAACCTCGCCCACTCTGACACGTGGCAGCCCCACAACTGACGCCCAGAGTCCCACATCGAAACTCTAAACAAATTGCACACCTCCCAAGGCCTATAAAAGAGGACACCCATCCCAGCTTGAAGGTAATCAATCAGAACTTACGACATACTGCCTATTGATCTGCAGTTAAAACTTACTAAATCCGTACTTACTTAAGCATCGGAGAGCCTTCGGCCGGTACCACACCGGTGCCTTAGGATTTACCAGATCACACACCCTACCGAGGACATCAGATACCGAAGAGACTTAATCACTAAGTTGCGCGGGAAAGTGCCGAACCATTTTTCTGCGTCAACAGTTTGGCGCCGTCTGTGGGAACGATAAAATCAACCTACAATTCCTAAACAAAACAAATGGGAACCACTTCAGGACCACAGTTCCTATCAGAGGATGGATTACCGTACGGTATGCCAAGTGGAGCAAGCCTCGCGCTGCACCCTAGCACTCCCTTTGGTAATCCTCCTGCGCTTCAGACCACGGTCGAAGCAGAGCTTCTGGCTCAGATGACCTCCCTCCGAAAGGAGATGGCTAAACTCCAAGAACGTAACAATCTTCTCTTATCCAAAGTGGACGAAATCCAACGGTTGCTTAATCAGCAGGAAACGCAAAACGTTCGGACCACCGAAACTTCCCAGAGTCAGTAGACCCCCGGTCGGCAGAGGAAGGGAAAACAGAGGGCAAAGGCAACGCCTGCGCCTTCCAAACAGCTGGTGGTCCCCGCACCCCAGGACCAACCGCACGTACCGAAGAAGGTATACACCGATTGTCGTCATCGGATCAACGACAAGAAGGATGCCGAATGGCATAGGTCCCCAATCAGACTAAACGCCAACTTGAGGGACTCCCGAATGAGGGTCTTGGGGGATAAGTCGCCCCTTCGGAGGGCTCAGGGTTTGGATTCGGCGCAGGAGTCCGATGATGAGTACATCCCCACCAGGGACACCGAATCAAGCTACCGTTCGGAAGCTCCCCCGGAGTATTCGAAGGCGAGATCACCAAGTCCGAGGAAAGCTTCCGAAGACTTTGGTTCCGAGGACGTCCCCAGCCGAGACCCCACCATCCGATTACTTTTCCAAAGAATCCAGAAGATGGAGGAGGACCGAACCCGATCCCAGGTCCCTGACTGGGGAAAACTTCGACCGGGGCCATTTACCGAGCGCATCAAGAGGTCCAGACCGGACAGGGAGGTGCAGCCGCTGCGCATACCCTTCTATACCGGTGTGGAGGACCCTCTGACGCACCTCCACTCCTTCCAATCGGCAGTTGGGTGTAAGGGCCTCAGCGACGAGGGACAATGTCTGCTGTTTCCCTCGTCCCTTACCGGAGCTGCGCTGAACTGGTTCTACCGTCTCGAGCCAGGGACGGTACATTCCTTTGACGAACTGAAGCAGATTTTCCTCAACCACTTCATGATCCAGACGGACCGTTTGTACTCTGCCGACGACCTGTACACGATTCGGCAAAGGGAGGACGAACCCCTACGGGAATACGCAGCGCGCTTCAGTCACGAGTACTCGAGGTGTCCCGAAACGGACGATAGGGCAGCCTACGGCGCCTTCAAGAGTGGCCTACGGTCCTCTAACTTCCGGTACCTCGTGCACAGTAGCAACTGGCACACGTATGACGAATTAATGAAGCAGGCAGCAGTCCATGCGAAGGCCGAATACTTCAACTCCAAACCCGGGCCTTCGGCTCGGAAAGAGGAATCGGCCGCCAAAAGTTATCCAGGCCGAGCCGACGACCCGTCGGCAGGACACAAACGGAAGGACGACCGGGATAACCGTCAGGGAAATTCAAAGAAAGGACGTGGGAAGTACGGTCGTACGACCACCGGGCACCCCTACCAAATCACGATCGTGCTCAGGAAGTCTTCACCCTGCTGAACACGACATAAGAAACCGTTTTAATGAACGAACATGACCAGATCCTGAAGCCGACCAACCGGAAGCCCAATCGGCAGGACAATCGGGATACTGGCAAATTCTGTCGATATCACCAGCAGAACAGCCACAATACCGAAGACTGCATCAGTCTGAGGAAAATTGTCGAGCGCCTGATTCGGGAAGGAAAGTTGGATCAGTACCTTGCCAGGCCGCCGCAGGCCCCGGCACCAAACGCGAATCGGCAGATCAACATGATCAACACGATCAGCGGTGGCCCCACCCTGGCGGGACCCTCTAACCGTTCGGTGAAGCAGTATGTGCGTGCCGCCCACTGCCCTCAGGTCTTCGGCATAGAGGACGATCGGTACCGAAAGTTGCCGAAGGTGGGATGGGAACCCATCACGTTTAGCGAAGAAGAGGAGGAGGGGATCATCTACCCCCACGACGACCCAATGATCATTCGGGCCGAGATCGCCGATTACGACGTGGGTCGGGTGCTGATTGACACCGGAAGCTCGGTGAATGTAATCTTTGCCGATGCGTTCAAGGGACTGGGAATTGCCGACAGCATGGTCAATCGGCAAATCACGCCTCTCCTCAGTTTCTCTGGAGATCTGGTGCAACCGGTCGGCAGCATCAGTCTGCCCATCGCCTTCGGCGTGGCCCCCAGGAAGACCATGACCTACGACCAGTTCCTCATTGTTGACTGCCCAACGGCATACAACGTCATCATAGGGCGAACGACACTCACCAGGATCAAAGCCCACCTATCCCCACACATGTTGCTGATGAAGTTCCCGACAAGCAACGGTACCGGAGCCATCCGGGGCGACCAGCTCAGCGCACAGACGTGCTATGCCACGGCCCTTAAGTCGGTAGCCAGCAAACCGCCAATGGAAGCCATGACTTTGCAGGGACTACCGAACGGTAACGAACTCATTGACGACCCCCGAGAGGAAAACCCAACGCCGGCGGCACAGCCCGCCGAGGAGCTCGAGACCATAATCCTGAACAAGGAATTCCCCGATCAGTGGGTGAAGATCGGTACCAATCTGGACCCCGACCTCCGAGGGCGGTTCATCGACTTCTTACGGCAGCATGCGGAGGTCTTCGCCTGGTCTTATGACGATATGCCCGGCATATCACCCGATGTCATCAGCCACAAGCTCAGCATCTCCCCCGCCCACAAACCAATCAGGCAAAAACGCTGATCGTACGATGCCGAACGGTATGAGGCGATGCGTGCCGAAGTTGACAAGCTCAAAGCCATCGGCTTTATCAGGGAAGCTACGTACCCTGTTTGGCTTGCCAACTCAGTCATGGTTCGGAAGGCCAGGGGAGGATGGCGAATGTGTCAAGACTATACCGACCTGAATAAGGCTTGTCCGAAGGACAGTTTCCCCTTACCGAGGATCGACCAGCTCGTCGATGCCACCGCCGGGCACGAGCTGCTCAGCTTCATGGACGCGTATTCAGGATACAACCAGATCTTCATGGACCCTGCCGATAGAGAACATACGGCCTTCATCACGGATCGCGGTTTGTACTGTTACAATGTCATGCCCTTCGGCCTGAAAAACGCAGGGGCAACTTACCAACGGCTCGTCAACCGGATTTTTGCTAAATACATCGGCGGCATCATGGAGGTATATGTCGACGACATGTTGGTAAAAAGCCGAACGGCAGGGGATCACCTGGAAAACTTGGCCCTCATGTTCGGTATTCTAAAGGACTACCGAATGCGGCTGAACCCGGCGAAGTGCGCCTTCGGTGTATCTTCCGGTAAATTTCTCGGGTTCATGATCAGTCAAAGGGGAATCGAGGCCAATCCCGAGAAAATAAAAGCCATAATCGACATGGAGACGCCGAAGACGCAGAAGGACATTCAGAGCCTTACGGACATGTCGCTGCCCTGACACGCTTCATCTCCAAGGCTACCGATAAATGCGTGCCGTTCTTCAAAGCTTTGAAAGGGGGCAAACATCATATAACGTGGACTCCCGAATGCGACCAGGCATTTCAAAACTTGAAGAACTACATGAGCCAGGCACCACTGTTATCGAAACCGCTGCCAGGCGATGTACTACTTCTGTACCTTTCGGTATCCAACACTGCCGTCAGCTCAATGTTGATAAGGAAGCCAGAGAAGGAGGAGCTACCGATCTTTTATGTCAGCAAGGCGCTCCAGAGCGCAGAGCTTCGGTACCCACCCTTGGAGCAACTAGCACTGGCCCTGGTCGTCTCGGCACGGAGACTTCGCCCTTACTTCCAGGCTCACGAAATCACAGTTCTGACGAACCAGCCTCTTCGGCAGGTACTCCAGAAGCCGGAAACATCTGGCCGATTGGTCAAATGGGCAATCGAGTTGGGAGAGTTTGACATACAGTTCAAACCAAGGCCTGCAGAAAAAGGCCAGGCCGTTGCCGACTTCATCTCCGAACTCACACCCCCTGCTTTATCGGAACCATCATCACCGAGCGTCGTCCCTACCGCACCAGAGAAAATGGATGCCGAACGTTTCGACACTTCTGTTCCTCTCTGGATCCTGCACGTGGACGGCTCGGCAAACCAGCAAGGCTGTGGTGCCGGCTTAGTGTTAACCACTCCAGATGGTAGCAAAATCGAATACGCCCTCCGATTCAACTTCCGAACCTCCAATAATGAGGCAGAATATGAGGCCCTCCTGGTCGGCCTTCGGCTAGCCCAGAGCTTGAGGGCGAGGCAGATCAGCATTCACAGCGACTCCCAGCTCATAGTAAATCAGATAACGGCAGACTTTGCAGCAAGGGATGCCTCCATGTCAGCCTACCTATCGGCAGCCCACCAACTACTACAAAAATTCCAGGCCTACGAGATACGGCAGATCCCCAGGTCGGAAAATAGCCACGCCGACGCGCTCTCACGATTGGCCTCGGCCATAAACGACAAGATCGGAAGGAAGGTACCGGTGGAGATATTAACCCAACCAAGTACGACCGCCGCTGAGGTATGTACCGTTCGGTACGAGGACACATGGATGTCTCCAATCTATGCCTACCTGACTGCCAGAACCCTTCCTACCGATAAGTCCCAAGCTCGGAAACTTTGCTACCGATCGGCAAGGTACACAGTCATCAACGATGTCCTGTACAAATGGGGCTACACGACGCCATATTTAAAATGCCTGACCAATGAGCAGGGGGACTACATCCTTCGGGAGGTCCACAGCGGAATCTGCGGTGACCATTCTGGATCCCGATCGCTCGCACACAAGGTCTTCCGGCAGGGTTATTTCTGGCCGACTCTGCACCAGGATGCGAACACACTAGTCAAGAGGTGCGACAAATGCCAGCGGTTCGGTAGTGTCCCTCATATTCCTGCCGAGCCACTGTCACCGATCGTGAGCCCATGGCCGTTCGCCCAATGGGGACTAGATCTAATTGGTCCGATGCCAGAGGGCAAGGGTCAGGTCAAATACGCTGTTGTTGCCGTAGACTACTTTACCAAATGGGTAGAAGCCAAAGCCCTAGTGACAATAACGGCAGCCATGGTCGAGGATTTCGTCTGGACGAATATTTGCTGCCGATTCGGCATCCCCTACGCCATCGTCACGGATAACGGCAGGCAGTTTGATTCGGAAGTCTTTAGGCAATTCTGCACTCGACTCAAGATCAACCTGTTCTTTGCTTCGCCAGTACACCCCCAATCGAACGGACAGGTCGAAGCCATGGACAAAATTGTCAAGAAGCTGTTGAAACGGCAGCTTGACAAAGCCAAAGGAGCCTGGCCGGAAAAGCTTCCGGAAGCGCTATGGGCCATACGAACATCCTACCGAACGGCAACTGGGGAAACACCATTCTCCATGGCTTTCGGTTCAGAGGCAGTAGTCCCAGTAGAAATCGGAGAGCCCTCCTACCGAACGGAAACCTTCGCACCGAAGGCAAATGAGGAAGCACTGGCTTTGAGCCTCGATTTACTCGAAGAACGCCGAGCACAAGCCAACCTTCAGAACGAAGCTTACAAGCAACGCGTCTCTCGGTACTATGACTCCAGGGTCAGATCCCGCTCTTTCCGAATCGGAGATTGGGTTATGCGGAAAGTCTCATTGGCAACCAAGAATCCCACGGAAGGAACCCTCGGACCTTACTGGGAGGGACCCTACGAGATCATCGGTATCCAGCGATCGGGGACTTACCGACTCAGAGACTCCAACGGAAAGACCCTCGGTCATCCTTGGAACGTAGAGCATTTGAAGTACTATTTCAAATGAAGTCACCTTGCCTACGGCAGGGTCACGGAGGAGTCACAAAAGCCTTCGGCATCTCCACAAGCACAGCCGTCGGCATTACAGCGTTACCAAGCCAACGGCGGGTTCTATATTGTAAAACGCGCTCATAATTGTAATCTCGCCTTCGGCAGTTTATCAATAAAAGGGCCTTCGGCTCACATATTCGGCACCTTTGTTATACCTTTCAAATCTCTCCATTTTTTGTTTAAAAAAAAGGTACGGTAGGGACCATCGGTCGCAGCAAACTACGCATTTTGGCATCGCCATTATCCTACCGATTAAAGGACAACTTTGTAAACTTTATTGGGCATTATAGGCTTTACAATCGGCAAGCACGACCATTGGTTTCAATTCCTTAAATACTTGGAACTTTACTGGCCAACGGCCAATAATCTTTTGTTTGAGGGCCTTCGGCATTAAACAGAAAAATTTCCTAAGTACGCTACCGATTCGGAAGTTAGATGGAAATAACTTAAAGTGAAAAACATAATTTTAAAATGAAAAAACAAACATGCCCACGGCATTGATTATCAAAAACAAAAATGCTAACGGCATTAGAGTTGCAACAAAATTACAGAGATGCCTACGGCATCAAATTTAAAACAAAAAATACATAAAAAATGCCCTCGGCATTAAAGTTCAGAAGATTAAGAGTTGGAAACGAAACACAGCTTTCGACAGGACCCTCCATCAGGCGGCAGCGTCATCGGCGTCAGGGGCAGCACCATCACCTTCGGCAGCACCCCCTTCGGGATCGGCTGGGACCTCCTCGGTCATGTCCTCCCCCTCGTACTCCTCGACCATTTCTTCGGTTATGCCTTCAGGAAGGGGGGGGATCAGCAATAAAATTGAGGTTGAGCTTCTTCCCGGGGTTGTACCGCTTGAAACGGTAGACGAGTTCCGCCATTTCCGAGCCTACCTCCTTATCCAGCAAGGCTGAAAACTCGGTAGACCGACGGTAGCCCTGAATCGCCTCCTGAACGGCAGCCCCGATCTTGGAAGCCCTGGTCCGCTCGGACTCCTCGAAGGCCACCTAGACCGCCTCCTTCGCCTCCAGAGCCTCCTTTGCCGTCAGCTGAGCCGCCTCCAAAGCCGCCGACATCTCGCCAAGTTTGGCCTGATAAACCTTTACCTGCCGTTCGGCAGCCTGCATGTCCTTGGCCAAGTTTGCCTGGGCTTGGATGGCCTTGCCAGCTTCGGCAACCTTCGCCTTGCCGTCTTCGTATGCCTTCTTCGCCTTCTCAGCGGCATTGATGGCCCGCTTAACGCAGAGCCACATGTCCATTGAAGCGTGCACAGCAAACGAAAATGTCAGATGAAAAGAGAACTGAACGGCAGGGAAACGCTTAAAACAGTAGGCACTTACCGAGGCTTGGAGACGGAAGGCGCGGCCAGCCTCTTCCCGAAGTAGCTTCTTCGGCAGGTCCTCGATCTCGGACAGCTCCATTTGTGAACCAAGAATCATATGGTTCACAAACTGTACCGTCTTCGAAGGACAGGCCAGAGTAACAGCTTCGGAAGGAGCCTCGTCGTCCTCGGCAGAAAAGATGGCTCGAGCAGGCTCAGTTTGTCGCCCGCGTTTTGGAGCGGGGTCGGCATCAAGGTCCACCATGAACGGCCTCTTGCCTGCAGCTTTGGAGGAGGTGCCCTCGGTAGGCGGAACTCGGGGGACGGACCGGCTTCGGTAGCTTCAGCACGCGCCGAATCGGCCTGCATCTGGCGACGGCGCTCATTGAGTGTCAGATCGTCGGGGTCCACGCCTCCCGAAGGCACCGGTGCCGTTGAGGCCTGCCGCCCCTTTTTCTTCCCCTGCATGCCGAGCATGAGGCGTCTCTTCGAGGACTCGTTCATCCTCTTCACCTCGGCAGCCTTCCTCTCTTCGGTCACTGCAAGAAGGAGACGGTCAGATTCGTCGATATACATTTTGAACTGTCGAAATGGAGGAGTATACTTACTCTCGGCAGGGTTGACAAGCCGGGCCTTGATAAGATTGGCGGTGAAGAGAAACTTCGGGTACACCCTCTCAACGGCAGGAACCTTCAGCCTAACCCTTTCGATCTGCCGGACCTCCGCTTGTGTGGCGCTCGACTGCTTCAACTTGCCTGCACAAAACCAAACGGTATCAGCTTTAAAATAAGGAGAGCAAACCCTGCAAGCCCTACCGAACGGTAGGATAGCCTACCAGCGATTTGGAACGTCGTTGAAATGTGGAAACGGACGGGGTGTCCCGAGGGCGACTCCCAGTCACCGGACAAAAGCAACCGCCGTTTCCTCCATGTCTTCTGCGAGGTTGGGACGGCATTGACGAAGTGACCACGCTCGGCAGCCTTCAGACAATTGGCCTGGACCCAGCCTCCGTGATCGGCACACTTTGACTTCGTGATATTGTAAAGGTGGGAGAACTGCTCGTACGTAGGTTCTCCCTCCCCAGCCATGCCGAAAGCTGTGACTACCCCCATCAGCGCCACCCAGAAGTTGGGATTGAACTGGCCGGGAGCGTAGCCGATCTGCGCCAGGATCCTCTGAACGGCAGGCTACAGAGGAAGCCTCACCCCGTGCAGAAGCACGTCCATGAAAAAGACGACTTCGCCGTCCTTCAAACTGCTTAGAGATTCGGTAGGAAGTGGAATCCTCATACCTACCGAATCAGGAATGAAGTACTCCGCCCGGAACTTCGCAATCTCCCTTTCGGTGATTCTGTTGGGCTCCAGATAATCCACCCCGAAGACGAGCTCCTTCGGAACCCCCATCGGCACCCTAGGATTGCCGGGGTAGACTACGGATACCCTCGGCCGGTTGGATGGTTCGGCAGTCGCCTCACCACGGCCGGAAGTGGAAGCCTCTGGCTGGTGGCTACCGCTCGCCTCCCTAGGGGCGCCAAGCCCCACGTGGCGACCGTCGCTATATACGATAGACAACGGTACCGGAGCGGTCATAAGCCCCTTCCCGATGCCATGTATGGGAACTGGGCTGGGCCTTTCGCCGAGTATCTCGACATCGGTATCGCTCCCCTCCTCGGCATCAGGCCCTGCCGCTTCAACGTCGGAGTCAAAGAGACCGTCTGATGACTCCTCGTCGAACGCATTGTGCTCGCGCTCGGAGAATGACTCGCTATCAGACATCTACAAAAACAGGGAAAAAAGGGAAACTAAGGCTCATGCCGGATGCTATCCTACCGATCCCTACATCACCACCTATGGCGACTAGACTACCGAATGGAACCCTATGGCCAGTCTAGTTCAAACCAAGGAAGGACGTAAACTCTTAAGGTACGTAAAGAGGGAAAAAGTAGGGCTACCGAACGGTACCTTTGTTTAGTTTCTGGAAGTGAACGCGGACTGCTTCAGATCGTCTGGACACAAATCGCCTTTCCTACCGTTAGCTCTCACCGGAAATCGCCTGGTTACCGTTAGCTCTCGTCGGAAATCGCCTTTCTTACCGTTGGTACTCGTCGGAAATCGCCTCGGATAGAGCTCTCACTTCTCACAAGATGCAAAGTGAATTCGCCACCGGGGTCATCCCTATTTATAGTGGGGAGTTCGACAACGGTATTCCTCGAAAAACCAAACGGCGCATTAATGCGCCGCGCGCCATCATTACTTTCGCCACGTGTCGCTCACCCTATGGAGAACTGACGGCACGCGAGGCGCGGAAGTCGAAGCGCTCAGACGTCCCTTCGCCCATCAGATCGACGCGACCTTCTGACTTCACCAACGTCAGCCTCTGAACTGGTCATGCAGGAAGGGACAAGGTTTGGCCCCTCCCCCAGGGGAGGTTACCGAACGGTAAGGCCGTGTTTCCTCCCGAGGACGACTTCAAATCCCCTTCCGAAGACTCTCGCAAGGGGACTTGGGGGACTCCTGTTTATACCAAAATGAACACCCAATGAACATCAAGCACGTGGACTAAACCAGGGCTACGTGTGCCTTCGGCACTCACCTTCGGTACAAATCCTACCGATCGCAACATTAGGGCAACCTCGCCCACTCTGACACGTGGCAGCCCCACAACTGACGCCCAGAGTCCCACATCGAAACTCTAAACAAATTGCACACCTCCCAAGGCCTATAAAAGAGGACACCCATCCCAGCTTGAAGGTAATCAATCAGAACTTACGGCATACTGCCTATTGATCTGCAGTTAAAACTTACTAAATCCGTACTTACTTAAGCATCGGAGAGCCTTCGGCCGGTACCACACCGGTGCCCTAGGATTTACCGTGTGTTTGCTATCTTACAGATCACACACCCTACCGAGGACATCAGATACCGAAGAGACTTAATCACTAAGTTGCGCGGGAAAGTGCCGAACCATTTTTCTGCGTCAACAACTATCAATGCAAATAGGAGCGCATCATCAAACAGGGGACTTTGAGGACCCTGATAACTTGCGCTTGTAATTTCACTTAAAATTTGATTTTAGTGCATTATTTAATAAATGGGTAGGTATTTATATAATTTGGAATGAGTTTTAAAGTTGAATCTCATGTAGATTAATAAATAATATAATTTTGACTATTGGATTTAATTTGGGTCATTGGATATAATTTTTTCCCTTTAAAATCAGTCTTGGACAATCTGGGCCGTTAGATTAAGCTTACATTTAAAAAACAAATTACAAAAGCATATTAAATGTAGCCGTTGGATCTCAAAGGTTATATGAATTAAACACAACATGCGGCCAACATTTAAAGGAAGAGGCAGACTACTCCTACAAACAGGCCCCACTCAATTTGCACCAGCACGTGGGCTGTTTTGAGGCTTGCTTTTGTGCAGAGTTTGGGCCCACTGAAATTACCAGTCCAGGCAATACTTGGACTGGAATTCCACCCTACATTTGAGATTTCTCAAATTTTTACCTCCCAAAATATATGGGTTAGAGAAAATTTTTGGACTCAAAACTCATAATTTGAGTTTCCACCCTTTGGGTTGGAGATGGCCTTATGAGAAATCCAACAACTCCAATTTGGGGTAGACATATTATCCACACTTCATCACAATCGAATATGCCATACAAATCCTAAATAAGTTTATCGCACACACAAAATGTGTATTTGTTTTCACTAACTTTACCTTTAAGTACCAGTCAAATAAGCACACAATTTATCATTCCATTATCACACAAATATCATTAATGCCATAAAAAAAATCACATGAGAGATATTAAATTCAATACTGGAATTCATTCATACAGAAAGGATTTTTTGCTGAACTTTAGATGAGGTTGATACTTGAACGCCATTTTCTCTTTCCTATTATTACCCATGAGTCAAGAACACAATTTCTATCATATATTTATAGATGTTTTAATTAAACCATGTAAATATTCAAGTTCACCCAAAAATATATATTTTTTATTATAAAAAACACATTTAAATTCAAGTTTAACCCTATTAATAAAATTTCATATAGAGAGGCTGCCCAAGACAACGTAATTGAGGTTAGATTTGTTTTCTACAATTTTGTTTGCCATAAATAATTAAGACATTAATGTGCAAAACATTTTCGTTTGTTGAACTTGAGATTTGCAGGGTTTAAATTGAAACTTGTAATTCGTTGTCTTTATCACTTGACTTGGTTGTATTGAGACTTTGAGACTTAAAATGAGCATTTTCATTGGTTTTAACTAGAATTGACAAGATAACTTATTAAAGGAGCCATTCAATTCAGTGCACATGATTGGAAAACTAATTCGATTATATTAGTTTTTAGTATGCACAACTTTCTCATAGACTATTCTCCGATCAATGGTCCCTCCACTTTAATGTTTTTGGGAGAAAAATATATTGGAATTACGTACTGAAATGAAATTGATGGAAAGTGAGAGGTTACCATTTGCGTGACATAGGGGTTTAAAAGTGTCCCACCTAAATGCTTGGCATAGGGGTTCAAAAGTGTCCCACCTGATGTGGTATAGTCCTCTAGTCTTTCTCCAATGAGTTTTAACACCCACACACACGTTCCCCCAACCAAAAAAGGAGCCGTCGATTGGTATTTAAGTCTTCCTCTAGTCTTCATTGATTGATTGGTAAAAGTCTTCCTCTAGTCTTCATTGATCGATTGGTAAAAGCCTTCCTCAAAGTCTTATAAACACCCACTTTTGTCCCACTCCTCAGAACAAAGGAGGAGGACATGTATTTTACTTTTTCATTTATGAGCACGTGTATATCCTTTTCTGATAAGTATACTTCTAGAATTTTCTTTATCATTTAATATGAAAATTACATAAAGAAAGAGTGGAAATTTCATACATGATTTCATTGACTAATTTGTCTTCCTCTAGAATTTTTTGAGTCATTTAATATGAAAATTACAAAAAGAAAGAGAAGAACTTTAAGATGGACTTGAAGATCTCTTCACTCACTCACCCTCTTTCTTCCCTTCCTTTCTTTCCTCTCCGCCTGGGCTCTCATTTCTTCTCAGATGGTGTGTCTCACGCAAGGGAAGGATAAAGCTTTTTTATAGGCAAAGTTGATAGCTTCCCGTGAATGTGTAGTTGGCTCTCAAGGGAATATAGCAGACAAACTTCACACTATTTTTCTTCAATCAATTAGATAGTGGGCTCTATCATTTTGGGCTCCACATTCTTGACTTTTCAACAAATTATTGAATGTGAACGAGAACACCGTGTCTTCCTGCTTTACTTTCAACACTATTAAAGCAAGCTATTGTTCCATCTCTCTCTCTCTCTCTCTCTCTCTCTCTCTCTCTCTCTCTCTCGGGCTCCAAATATGGCTGACAAAGAACTGGGCGAGGCCACTGTGAGACTGCGGGCTGATAGTGTCAGCATGGCTGACGACGATGACGACAATGTCAATACAAAGGAGTGTCAATACAAAGCAGGGGAAGATGTAGAAAATGGGGCGCAATTTGGAAATGTTTGTACTAGGTTGGGACGGGGTGTAAAGGAACTACTATCAAAGAAAATAGGAATGCATCATCAAACACGGGACTTTGAGGATCCTGATAACTTGCGCTTGTACCAGCAGCTGTACAGCTATGCAACTGAGGGTAAGAAGGGTATCTTCAACGACACTATTGCGAAGAAGCCTCATGATCCAAATGCTAGCATTCAGCTTCTGTCTCGACGGAGCCCCGAGAATAACACATTTGTTCACATAGCTGTGACCTTCGGCCATCCCAAACTAGCGGCCGAGATCTTACAACTTCACAAGCCTCTTTTGTTAGAGAAAAACTTTGAGGGCGACACCGCGCTCCACATTGCGGCCAAAACCGGGGATGTAGATACCACAAACACTCTTCTCCGTGAAGCACGAGGAACAACAGATGTTGAAACTAATGATGATGTATTGACGTTGCTAAGGATGAAAAATAATGAGGAAAACACTGCCCTACACGAGGCCTTGATTGGAGGTCACCAATCAGCAGCCAAGCGTTTGATAGAGGCCGATCCTGCCGTTTCACTGTATACTAATAAGGAACAAAAGTCCGCTTTGTATCTGGCCGCTGAACAAGGATTTGTTGAGATCCTGAAGATCATGAATGAAAGAGCAGTTGACAAGAACACACAAATTCAAGGCAATTCCCCTTTGCTTGCTGCAATTCTTGGATGCCATAATAAAGGTACGTACATTCAATTAATTTTTTTTTTTTTTAATTTAAAAAAAAAAAAAAAAAAAAAAAAAAAAATAAATTTTTTTATTTGATTCATTTTCTGACGCCAGAAGTCCTAAAGATAATATCAAACATGGAAGCAAATATCTTGAACTCAAAAGATGAGAAAGGGAGGACTCCACTGCATTGTGCAGCATCAATTGATTATCTACATGGGGTTCGTTTCTTACTAGAATTACGCCTCTCTGATTCTCATCAAATGGATCATGGTGGCAACTTTCCAATCCATTCAGCATAAAGCAAAGGTCATGTCAAGATTGTTAAAGAGCTGCTTCGACATTGTCCCGATTCAAGGGAATTGAAGAACTCAAGTGGCCAAAATATACTCCATGTTGCAGCAAGATTTGGCAAAGACAATCTTGTCAAATATTTTCTCAAAAACGGCGAGTTTCGAATGTTGATAAACAAAAAAGACCACTTAGGAAATACTCCTTTGCACTTGGCAACGATGTACCATCATCACAAGGTTGTGTACCTTTTGACTTGGGATAGAAGGACCAACTTGAAGGTCGTGAATGGTAGGGGCATGACAGCTCTTGACATTTCAGAAAGCACTTTGGAAACCACTGCATCATCTCATGGGGTAAGTTTGTGCTATATATACTCTTATCAATATTCGTCATGATGATGATTTTCGGGAATTCCTTGTCTATTTAGTGTGTTAGGTTTGTGTCCGCATTTAGTAGTCCCGGTTGGTATATTGAGTTTGTGTTTAAACTGCTGGTATTGAGTTCCCAAATGATGTGGGTTATATGTTTACAAACTATATCACACCTATCTCTTATCACTCTTAAATAAATTGAACAAAGAACTAAAAACGAGAAAATAATAAATGAGAAAACACTGAAAACAGTTAGATTTTATTGATTGCAACTCTATGACTAATATAAATCAGCTGGAATGGAGCATTTCATTAAAATATCCCTGATTTTTAGCATTTATGTTTAATCCTTATTATTTGGGCATCTAATCAATAAAAAAAGGATTCGACCAAAACAAAATCAAGAAATACAATATACCTAAATAAAAATAAAGATTGATTACACTTTAGTACCCTGTGGTTATATTCTTACGATATGTTAGTCCTTACTTTCTAAATTTTTACAATAACATATCTCGATCTTTTAAATTTATTACAATGTGGTTCCGTTAGATCTCTACATTAGTTGTCTACATGGCACTATGGGTTCCACAATTTATTTTTAATTTATTTTTAAAACTGATTAAAATATTAATAAAATATTAAAATTGTTTATCTCTCTCTCTCTCTCTCTCTACCCCTCCCGTCTCTCTATCCCTCTGTCGCGCAGATTTCTTCTCCCCCATGACCACCACCCTTAAGCTCCACCAATCCCCAAACCCATCCCACAGCCACCCTCCACGCCAGCCCGCAACCACAGCCCCCAAGAAACTAGAACCCCAGCCCGCAACCACCCAGCGAACCCAAACCCCCCCCCCTTCTTTACGATTTTCTTTTCCCCCCAATTCTCCCATTACCCCCACCCTCCAACCCCCAACGAACCGAGTAACCACCCTTCGATTTTATTTTTCCAATTTGTAGAGGTAGAGAGCGGAGAGGAAAGAGATGCAGAGCGTCAGATCTTATCGACCGACGGCGAGAACGAGGTGTGGAGGATGGAGAGAGAGTGGTCGGCGAGCTGGGGTTTTGGGTTCATTGCAGGTTGAGAGAAAATTGCCCCGGGGGGGATGGGAAGAGAAGAAAATCGCAAGGGGCGCTTGATTAGGATGATTTTTTTCTATTCTTTTTCTGCAACTTTTTTCCAAAAAAATAATATTTTATTCAATTGAAAATTAACAAAAAGTGAAAATGTAGGACCTACAGTGCCACATAAGCAACTAAGAAAGAGATCTAACGGAACCACATTGTAACAAATTTATAAGACCGGAATATCTAATTGTAAAAATTGAAAAGATAGGAACTAAAATGTTTTAATGGTGTAACCCTAGGGTACTAAAATGTAATGAATCCTAAGAATAATATTATAGTTGAACAATGACAATTATAGTGATACAAATTAGTCTTTGTCGAAATATATTACTTAAATTATTGTCCGTTAGAAAATTATAGTGATACACAGGTAAATAATTAGGGAGATTCACTAATATACCCAATATATGAGCCTAAATTATAAAAATACCCCATATTAAATGAACTTTATAAACACACCCAAAACTCATTTATAACATAACAAAGAGGCATTAACTTCTTATAAATTACAAAACTACCATAAATTTCTTAAAACAAGCCCAACCTCAAAATCTCATAAAAATACCCAAAACACTCAATAGGGCATTAAAGTAATTTAATAATCAATATTAAATTCAATAAGGCCAGCTGTCATTTTTGGGGTTTTTTTTGGGTTTGTTTATAGAAATTTAATGATGGAGGGTTTATCTATAATATTAGTGCTAAGAATGGGTATATCACTAAATATCTCAAATAATTACTGAGTAACTTACATATATTATGTAGGTAGATTAATTTAATTAGATGGTATAGGAAAATGATATACAAAATATGGCGATACGTGGGTAAATAATTACAAGTATTGTACCTATATTTCGTAGGTATATACTAATTTAATAGACTATATATGTAAATTATCGAATTAGGCTGTAAAGGTAAATTATTTAGATTGTATAGGTAATTTACCTATATTTTGTAAAAAGATAGGTACGTTATTTACATTTACATATATAGATAAGTAAAAAGGTATAGGTTCACTATTTATCAATATGCACCTATATTTTTCAGTTCCCTAATTTACTTAAATTATTTAAGTAAATTATTTACCTATAATTATTTATGTTTTTCGCAAAGACTTTGTATATTAATTTACCTATATTTTTAAGTACAATGATTTACTTATATTTGAAAATACAATTTAAAATAGGTACATAATAATTTTGAATTTAAAAGAATGAATACATTAATCTATAAACGAAATTTGAATTAAAGAGAATTGGTAACAATTGATGGAATGAAAATTGAATATATTGCAAAAAAAATAAAAAATTCCCACACCGAAAGAAGACAAAGAAACAAATAAGAACATTAAATGTCACAAATTTAGTAAGGTGTCTGCAGTGTGTGTAACTCCATTAGTGTTTGAGTCCCACTTTTAGCAATCCTCGTTGGTGCACGATTTGTAATTTCCTACATAAATTTATACTGGTGGTAATAGGCTTAATCATTATGTTTTAGTTATATAAGTCAGGGTTTTATTGATAGAAAATAAGGTAATGGTCTGCAGGTAAGAAAAAAAATGAATTTCAAGGAGAAAGCTAAATTTACTACAGATTTTTGAATATATTAATGGTACGACTTGTGCAGACGATACCTGCTGTAAAAGCAGAAGCAAATGGCTCAGAGCAAAACCCAAGAGACTCGAGCAGCCTTGAACCTGAACTTGATCAAATTTTGCTTGAGCCTGCTATGGAAAGAAAAAGCAATAAGCTTGATCGCCAATCACCACCATCGAGAACTCCTGCTGGTAAGATTTGGTACAAAACAGTAGCAACAGCTCGCTGTCTGATAAATGCAGTGGTAAATTTCTTGGAATACCCCAAAACTTGGGTGGAAGCAACACGTGACATGCTGATGGTTGTGGCAACCATGATATCAACTACAACTTTCCAAGCTGTAATTGACCCACCCGGTGGTGTTTGGGAGGAGGATAAAACAAATGGAACTATTTCTTATTGCACCGATGATAACAAATGCTTAGCTGGAACTGCAGTGGCAGGCAACAGCCTCCGAGATGACTTCCTCATGTTCGTAAGATTCAATACCGTCTCGTTCATTGCTTCTCTCAGTGTCACCCTGTTGCTTGTTGGAGGATTTCCGCTCCAGAATCGTCTAATTATGTGGCTTTTATCAATGGCCATGTGTATCACTCTCTCTTCTATGGCAATAACCTATATGCAGGCTCTCACGTTAGTGCTCCCTGGAGCTGAAATTTTTGATTCATATGAGGGTATATTTGTTATATCCGGTTTTGCTTGGTGGTCATTGCTTCTGTCCATCGCTTTAATCCACACCATTCGTTTTATCATTTGGTTGGCGAGGAAGTTTTCGCGCAGGTTCAAGCATAATATCCCAAAAAGCCTCAGGATTAACGCTGTTGATAGTTTGACTGCACCTGCACGTCACCGTACCAACAAATTCTGAGGAGAATAAGGCCGTTGTTTCCTAATGTGTTGGAGGAACTACACCGAATTGCTAAAGTAAACCATCTATTTAACGATGGAGAATCTGTTTAAGGAGTACCAGCAGGTTGTGTTTGGCTAGTGGCCTGTGTTTGCTTTGATTTGTTTCTGTTAGAATTTGTTAAGAGTGAGTCAGAATGATAAGTTTGGATGCTTGAGAAGGTTTATGCTTAAGGTATATGTTGAAGCAGGGGCGGAGCTAGAATTGTAAAGTTAGGGGGGCCGAAATAGAAAATATAAGTATATAAAACACCTAAATATTCAATACTTACATGTTTAAAGTTAAATATTTCTAATTAAGTCATATCTAATTTGTTTTAGAGGACATTTTAACTTAAATTCTAAGTTGTTTATTACAAATTCGATATATTATATATAATATAATAGAGGAGTGATAAAAATATGGGGGGCCAGGGCCACTCCAGGTCTAGGAGTGGCTCCGCCACTGTGTTGAAGCTACTTAATAATTAAAGATTCTGTGGAGCATTTGTTGTTGGTTAATCTGAAATATATTTTTATTTCCCCCATATATATATGTAAATCTTGTTGGAACGACAGTGCCATGGGTGAAATTGTTTGAAGAGAAGTGCTCAAACTATAACTGATAGAAGATATAGAAGATATATGCGGGGAAATTCTCAAAACAATTCATAGACTTTGCAAGATGCATCTAAGAATGATACAAGACACATAACTGATACAATTCAAAGGTATATATTCATAACTCCAGAAAACTTCGATTATTGGACAAAGAATATTAATGCTACTAGACACATCTCTCTATTTTTTTCAATTAATTAACCAGAGATTTCAATGGCTTTGACATCGGCTTCCAGAGATTTCACCTCTGCTTTGGGAACAGTGACGCTCAGAACCCCATTCTCCATTAGAGCCTTAATCTCGTCTACCTTCGCATTCTCCGGAAGCTGAAACCTCCTCAGGAACTTGCCGCTGCTGCGCTCCACCCTGTGCCACTTGTCGTTCTTGTCCTCCTTCTCCACATTCCTCTCTCCACTGATCTGAAGTACTGTTGATGCTCTTTTTCGGAGAGGGTCAACTTAGAGATAGGGGTTTGTCTTTAGCAAGGGAAGGGCCTGGGCCTTCAGTAAAAGGCTAGCCTGCAGAAGACAAAAATAGAAGAAGCAGTCGTTAAGCTTCGGACACCGGTGTGGTGCCGGCCGAAGGCTCTCCGATGCCTGAGTCAGCTAGGGGTAGTGACTATCGTAAAGTAACAGTAATAGTGGAAGAGAAGTTACCCTCTTTCTTGGTTACTGTTCCCTACTTATAAGGAAGTAAAAGTAGGAGGCTTGCACAAAGTTCCGATGTGGGACTTTGTGCAAGTTGCTGTGATGATGACACGTGTCTCCTGTATTTTAGGTTTGGCAGTTCGGAGCTTCGGCAGGTGATTGTCCCTTCGGAAGAGCATCTCCCTTTGGCAGGGAGGAAGACATGTCTACCGTGGTGTACAATCACGCTTGGTTAATTATGGTGTAAACTAGTACCCTGTCGTCTTCAACCTCCACCTCCACCTCTTCTTTCTTAAGCCCTGGAAGGTCCGCCTTGAACACGTGGGCTTCCGGGGTCTCCTTCCAATCAATTCTGGTGTTCAGGAAAGCTGAATTTTCCCGAGAAAATTCAGGTAATGTGGAAAGTGATGAGGATCCTTGAAGGGGTCCCAGAGATTGAGGGAGAAGGGGTCGAAAATGCTGCTTCGTCTAAAGCTTGGGATGATCGACATTATGAATTGGTTTAATCTTTTGGTCTTGGGTTTGTTTGAGATCTCTAGTTTTGAGTATCGAATTCGGAATTTGCCGCTTCGCTTCAAAAGTTGGAGAATTGTGGAGGCTTTGGTTGCTTATTTATAAGCCGCACCAGAACTTTCTAGTAAAAACCGGGCCTTGAAAAATGGTTTTGTGATATTTTTTTTTCAAACTTTCTAGGACTATTGAGAAAGTGGGCCTAAGATATTTTATTACGGGCTCACAGTTAGTTTTTCTTTTCCTTTTGATGTTTGAACTTCGAAGCTGTCAAAATTACAATAGTTAAATCTCATCCATCGTCACACCATGTTTGTGAGAAACTTCATACAATATGTGGAATTGCTAACATATCGTTAATATGGTAGTGAATAACAATGTAAAAACTTTTGTTTGTATCATTTAAAGGATGGATTGCTCACTTATTGTTTCCCTCTTTTCGACCGGGGCGGTCGATGAAAGGAACTTTTGTTTTTTTTTTTTTTTTTTTTTTTTTTTTTTTTAGTGACGTGTCACCACCAAGCCCCGAATTTGGGTTTGAGAGCCTAGCCGCACATGCAGGTTCATTGGTTTACATATACTTATATGCATACAAATAATTATATATATATAATGATTTTATATATACGCAATATAATATCACAATGGAAGGCTTCAATTTAATGAGCCCATCCGCATGGACCAAGCATTCCAGCCGCACTGACTTGATTCATTCACCCATATATGCATATATTAATATATATATATATATATATATATATATATATATCAGGTCAATTAGTTTCAGCCCAACTTGCCACGAAACCAAATATCCCAGCCTCCATTCTCCAAAATAAAAACTCGGCCATAATTTTCATCTCCCAGCCCGGCTGCGTATTCTGCCGCCCAAAAAATTCAGCTTGCGCATCGCTTGGGCATTTCTAGTCGCCCCGTATTTCGGCCGCCAAAATTCCAAGACCTCAGCTGTGATCTTCCAACAATCTCGGTCGAGATTCCAACTCCACTCGAATTGCCCGGCCATAATTTTCATCTCCCAGCCGCCCAATTATCTGGCCATAGCCTTGCAGAGGGATCCGACTGCAATATTTATATTTAGCTCCAAATCTGGTCGGCCGCAAAAACCCTGAGCTCCTAGCAGACCCGGTCGCGTTTTCGAAAGCCCAAGGACTCTGAAACCCAACTGCCCAGTTTCACCCGTGCCTAGCTAATTCTCGTGCCCGGCCAATTCTTGTTTGGTTATGGTAAAGTACATGGCTAAGCCAAGTGTCTTCACTGGCGAGTATTCTCTCTCGGTGGCCGTTAGAATTCGGCTGAGGTAATATACCTCTTGCTCTTCTCATCCTTGTCATGGGATAACAAACTTCCGATGGAGTTTTCCACAGCCGAAATATACAATTTCAAGAGTCGGCCCCACCTTGGCAGAATGAACACCGGAGGCCTAGCCAAAAACTCTTTAATTGCATCGAATGCCCTTTGGTGAGCCTCTCACCACCGAAATTCCTCTTCATCCTTGAGTTTTAGCAAAGATGAGAAGGGCTCAACTTTTCCCGTGGAGTTGGCTATGAGCCATCGGAGAAACTTTAGGCCAACAAACTTTGCACAACTTTCTTGTTTTTGAAGGGGTGCATCAATGATATCCTTAGCCTCATTTTTATCAATTTGAATTCCCCTTTGGTGCACCAAGAATCCTATGAAATTACCGGCGGAAACCTCGAAGTCATGACTTACAAATTTGGCCTAATAAATTTGGCTTTCACAAGTCTTACAATTTCTTCCTTGACTTGTAATTCTACTTCGGCCAACATTCGGTGGGGCGGCTACTTGAAGGTCTCAAAATCTTCCACCGTTGGTAGGCGATGCTCGACCAAGTCACGACTCAATCCGGGCATCTTGGTGTATTCCCAATCAAAGCAATACTTGAACTCTCTAAAAAGCTCTTCCATCTTGGCTCGAAATTCTGGCTCCATTAAACCTAACGTAAATTGGTCGATGGTTGTCTTTCGTCCCCAAGTTGATTTCCACCAATGGGTATTGGACTTCCACCTTCGAATCATCCATCTCACTTGGCGTCAACTCTACTTCATCGGGCTCGAGTGCATCATCTTCTGGACCTTTATGAAGAAATTCCACGAAGTTAGAGGTAGACCCATGCTCGGCTGCTCTTTCGGCCCAAAAACTATTTAGCCGTCTCAAAGTGTCTTCCATCACGACCTTCTTCTCTTCCTCTATGTTTGTATCACTCATTGAAGGAGAAAAAAATTAGCTATAGTGGGGCGCTCCCCATCTGCTTGGCCATCATATGCCCCCAAATCTATCAACTTTTGGGCCGAGACTCCCATAGGTCGGCCGTAACTATCTGGCCCCGTAAAATAAAGAGGCCCAATGTCATCATCATAAAACTTTGCCTTCACCACATTGGCGAAGGCCATGAAGGGCCATGCATTGGCCTGAACAATCTCTACAATTCCATCCTCATGCCAAAATTGTAAAAATTGATGAAGTGAAGAGGGCACACACTACTTCCATGGATCCAATCTCAGCCCAACCAAGCATTGAAATGAGTTGTTATCTCCACCACAAAGAAGGCAGTCATTCTAACCTTTTGCCCCACTCTAACTTAGAGTGCGATAATCCCCTTTGAAGTCGTGGTGTCTTCCAGGAACCCACTAACCGTTGTCTCGGTCGGAATTAATTGATCTGAGCCTTACTTTAATTTCCTCATGATTGAGGCTGATAGGATGTTAACCGTAGCCCCCGTATCTACAAGGACTTTGCTCACCGGAACTCATTCGAAATGAGCTTCCACATACAAGCGCTTAAGGTAGGAGGACATTTAATTGGCGGGCATCTCATAGCACACCTTCTCAGGCAACTTTTCCTTCGTTTTGGGCACCACGATGCAAGGTTGGGTATTCCCTTCCTTTGAAATTTCTTGGGTCACCTCAATTTCTTTGGCCCTCTCCATTTGGACCATGGACTCAACCTCATCGAACACATCTCCGTCCATATAATTAGGTTGTTCCGGCCGACCTTTGAAAAATAGTAGAAGTGTAATAACCATGGCATTTACCCCGTCAAAGTCTTCAAAATTCACTTTGACCTTGCCCACCTTTAGTTCATTCTTAAACTTAGCCATATCTTCCTTGCGTTCTTTCTCTAAGTGTTCCATAGCCTCCTTCGACAGATCCTCTAACTACTCATCATCAGTATACTCCTCATCATCCCCATAGAGCTCTTCATCTTCAGCCGCCAAACCTTTGAGATTTTCCAATGGCTCCTTAGCTTCTTCCTCGGCCGTGTGCTCGACCTCTCTTTCTACCATATTAGCTTCGGCGTTAACCATGACTTGGTCTTCTTCCGCCCTAGGTATCTTATGGGGCTCATCTCCAGCTTCTTGGACCATGTTTTGGTCATTTTCCTCTTTCTTCTCAACTTTGGTAGGCTGAGCCACTTTGGTCATGACTGGGGCCTTGGCAACCGAAGGCTTGACTTTCGGTGGAGACGCCCTTGCCTTTTCAACCTTAAGAGGTTTATCTCTTCTCTTCTTGGTTGGCTCACTAACTTCAACTTTGGAGTTATTTGCCTCAAAAGCCTTAGTCAAATGGGCCTCCAACTCCAAGATTGGCTCTCCTGGGGCCATTACCACGACTCGGTCATTCGCACATTCTCGACGTATTTTCATCTCTTTGGCCAAGACTGCCTCCAAGGAAGCGACGGCATCGGCCTTGGCCAACTCCAATTCCTCCAATCGAAGCTTCTCTCGAAGCTTGACCAACTGGTCAAGTTGAGCTTGCCTTTTTTTCGTCCATTCTAACTTCGCCTTGCAAGTGGTGGCATATTGCCTTTGAGCCCTTCTCGTTTGAGTCTTGCTCAAGGGTACCGGCGGGAGTTATGGGCCTCTACTTCTATACCATTGGACCACCTTTGTGTTCGGCACCTTGAAATTTGTGACACCACTCTCGTCCGCGAGGCGGGGTCTTAATACATATGCCACATCTCGAATTTTGCCTTTTCCCACTGAAATCCACATGCTTCGATTTTGGCTTGAGTCGGGCGAATCAATGTTTTCAGACCTTAGAAGGGTATGTTAATTTCTCATCTTAGGTTGATATCGCGGCCTCTCGTACCTATCTTGGTACTCATGCAATGGCCGTTTGTTCGGCCTTAATTCTATCCCGCCCCTTAGGCTATGTGGGCCGTAATTCTCGACTAGACTTATTATCATACTCTTCTCAAAACTCCTAGGTTTGCCCACTTGGACTTGATCCTTGGTTTGCTCCTTATCAGCCCCTTGGTCTTCCTTGGTTGGCTTCTTGGGCTTTGGTGGAACCACTTCGAGATTCACCTCGCATTGGCATCGATTGCATAGCACAATGGCCTTTGGAGGTTCTTCCTTGGTTGAAACTTTTGTCTTGGGAACATTGGCCAACTCAGGGTACATTTTGGCCTTGCCCCTTGCCTTAGGGTCCACCGGAATATCCCTCTCCATTCTTTCTGCCGCAGCCTTTGCTGAGCCACCTAAGTCCAACATTTGCCTAGGTTAGTATGGCCTTGGGCAATTAGCATTCATTATATTGACTCAGGCACTTGGGAAAGGGTTCTGGTCGATGCCCATTGCAACTTTCTTTGAAAGCTTCAAGATCTTCCAATCGATGAGAACTCCAAATATTTGGATGTTGGGCTTGGCCCTACGTTGGACTATATTTGAGTTCTCAAATATTCGAATATTGGGAACTCGGCGGACATACCTACCCTCGAACTTCAACTTCCCCGTCAGAAATACCTCCCGCTGAACTTCAACTCCCTTGGCCCAACTTTACTTGCCCAAGTGTTGTGAGAAGGGTGCCCGAGTGCAAAAGGATCTGCCCAGGCCCATCTTTTTGCAAAAGGAGTGGTCGACCAAGGTATTTAAGGAGTGATCGGCCCAACTTTTTGAGATGTGCTCGGCCACTTTTGCAAAAGGAAGCGTTCTGCCAATTTTGCAAGGATACACCCAACCACTTTTGCAAAGGGAAGCGCCCGACCATATTTTTGAGGAGGCACCATGCCTTTGAAGAAAACACATCAGCCACCTTTTCGAGAAAGCACCTCGGCCGCATATTTGTGTTTATTCACTTGTAGATATATATATATATATATATAATAAAACAATGAGGTTTTAACCTAAAGAAACTCTAGCCTAGTCGTATCCTTTCAAGTTCTAAAGTTTCAGTCCAAAAATCCCAAAGCTCCAATCGCTAAAATCCCGATTGCTTAAACCCTAGCTGCTCAAATCTCAGCCGCTCAAATCCCGACGGCTCCTAAATCTCGACCACATCCTCCAACGCAGCTCAGCGTCAATAAAGCTTCGATTTTCGACTGCCAAGTTCCACTTGGAAATTTGGGCCGTCATCAGCCTTTGATCCTTGAAGGTTTTAGACAAAGCCTTGCACACATATGGCCCTTTGGCCACAATCTCGGCTAAGTTTACCTCTACCGACTTTTCTTCCTCTTTTAGGAAAACCTCATTATCCCTTTCTTCCGCTTCTATATCTTCAAAGTCCACCGCATGTACCGCCGTAGTTTTAGGCCCAGAAGGTTTGGTCAAATCCCTACAAAAGGTTGGCTGAGGTACCGGCCACCCCTTTTGTTGTTCATCCTTCAGAAGGGCTTCGTATCGGTCCACCTGAAGTAGGAGATCATAAATGTCACGAAACTGAATTCCTTCGAATTTCTAAGCAACAATCCTCCTTGGGCCAATTTTGCAAACTAGTACTCTGGCATATTAACCGTGCACCTAGCCCTTGCTTCTCTAAATCGCCCCAAGTATTCTTGGACCGACTCATTTGGCTTCTGGCTTATCTTCGCCAAGTCGGCCATTAAGACTTCTAGCTCCAGCCGATAGAATTGCTTGTGGAAAATTTGCTCCATGACTTGCCAATTTGGGACGGAGTTTTGTGGAAGTTTGACATACCACGAGAAAGCTGCCCCCATGAGTGTACTTGGGGATAACCTTAGTTTCAAGGCCTCACGATGCCCAATCTCTGCACATTGGGTAGTGAATCGGCCAATATGTTCGACGGTCGATTGGAACCCATCTCTCGAAGATAGTGCAAAATTCAGAACCTTGAAACCCCTTGGAAATTCCTCTTGATCAAAGTGCTCTGGATATGGCCTCCGGTAGACTAACCTACCAATCCTCCTTGCATGGGGCACCATATCTTGAATCATTAGTTTGACCGCACCTCGGTCGATTGCTTGGTTTCCTAACAACGGATTGTTCGCATTTCCACCAAGATTATTCCAACCACCGACTCCGGCGAATTGGTTGATATAAGACCCAGCAAAATTGGCTCCGGCCCCTTAGTGAGCTTGTGGGTAGAATTGATTGTATGGCGTGAACACTTGGAATTAGTTGCCTGCTGCATATGCATTGTTGCCCATCGGTGAAACATTAACCGCTGGGGCTGGGTTGCCCCCAGTTAGTGGATTTGGTTGGGGCGGATTCACTCCAAAAATATTTGGTTGGGCCTCAGCTTGTGGCCCCGCCGCTAACATTCCATTAGGTTCCCCTCGATTCCACTTTGGCCATTTTGTTGGTCTAGCGATCGATCCAACCGCTCGTTGATCGAGTGGCTATGGTTTGAGGAATGGTTTGAGTCGCCTCTTGTTTTTGTTGATGTTTGAGATTGTTCGACATGTCCATTGCACGGATGGGTTGTTGGATTTCCAACAAAGTGGCATGATTTGGCCTGAATAATGGTCCTCGACGACTTTCGAATCATCTTCAACCAACACATGGTCGGGATCGATGGCCGGTCTCGGCCGAAATCATTTTGGTCGACGACCGTGGTTCGGTGGAGACCATTTTGGCCTTGTTGAGCGGTCGGAACATTTTGTTGCTGAGTATACATGAGGAGTGAAACAACCATCTAATTATGGTCAAAGTGTGATATGAATCCATTCGGCGGATTACTTGGGTGATGCACATGGCCCCAAGTCATCTTCCACCGACGAAACTCAATCTTGAGCCCTTTTTTTTTATTTATTTTATTTATTTTATTTTTTAAGTAAATGGCCAATTCATTCAAGAATGAACCATGACCTTTATTTGAATCTTAACGGCCTACCTAGTAGGTGGCCGTGTAGAACAAAATTTTCATGGAGACCATGGCGGTGGCCAACCATGTTTTACTCCAAGCTTGGAGCCCTTCTTATTCTGAACTCAGATCTTGCCATTTTGTTGGCGATGGGTTGAAATATTTGGATGGCTAGTACTATCCAGATGACTTCGGGCCATCACTTTAGCTGACCCTCCATGCCCCCAAAGTCCACTTGGTCGACCAATCTTGGCCTTTGGCTCGGGCTCAATAAACTTGACCACTTGCAATTGTGGTCTCGCAATGTCGAGTTTTCCTTCTACAAACATGTCTATTATGATTCCACATTGGGTCGTGCTTCGACCTCCTTCTTCATTAGGTGGTAAGCTCTTACATCCTAGGATAGTGGGCTTGGGTTGGACGATATTTTTATCCTCAACATTAACCACTTTTTGAGTTTTATCCCTTTGGGTGGGCTCATTTTCCTCAACCAATGTCAGGTCCTCAATAGGAAGGTCAACTTGAGTATTCGATTTTAAGGTCGTCTTGCCCACCTCTTTCTCACTCTCATATTCCCTACCAACCTCATTTTCCTCTAGAGAAGTAGGTTGAACAGGTGGATGAATTGCAACCATATGAGGATTTTCCTCTTGTGATTGAGAATCAAGGTTGGGGTTGAGAGTTTGCCCCTCGGCTTGTTGGCTAAGAACTTGCTCTTCGATCACAAGTCGCAAGGAGATTTCACGCAAATGTTGGACCAAAAGTTTGTTGGAAACTGCCATCTCCAAAAATACATCTTTCACTTCATATATTTCCTTTATGAAATTTTGATGTTCTTTGTCCATGCAGTCAACATATGGCCTCTCACTTACGCTAAGAACATTTTAGCCATTATAGCCATTAGGATGACTCGTTTGGTGGGAGCCATAACTAGGCTGATCATAGATATTAGACGGATTATTTTGGGCATCTGGGTAAGTGTATTGTCCTTCGGCCACTTGATTGTATTGGCCATTATAGCTATGTTGGCCATTCGCATAATTGTGATATATCACATCATTTTGGCCATGATTGTTGTTTCTGCCATGTTGGCCATTGAATTGGCTACCATAGCCATATTGATATGTAGAATCGTATTGGCCGCTATAGCCACCCTGATTGGTTTGGCCACCAAAGCCATTTTGATCATTCGAACCATTTTGGTTCATAAGATCATATCCGCTAATATAGTTGTGCCCACTATATTGGTCACCAAATCCTCCAACATAGTTGTGCCCACCATATTGGCCACCAAACTGACTACTTGAGCCATATTGGTTGTTAGGCCCACCTTGATGGGTAAAATTATATTGACCATAGTATTGGCCGATGGATTGGCTATTCGAGCCATAAGAATCATAGCCGTTGCAGTTCATCGGCTGATAGGAATGTTGTCATTCCTTTCGGTCGCTCATAGAGTGTGTCCCACTGGGCGTGCCAAATTATGTTTCTCTCTTTTCGACAGGGGCAGCCGAGAAGGAACTTTTGGTCCTTTTTTTTTAGTGCGGGGCGTGCCACCACCAAGCCCCGAATTTGGGCTTGAATGGAATGTGAGTAGATGGATGTGTTGCATCCGAGATCTGACTTTAATCAAACGATTGTTTGGCCGAGCAAGGAACCTTCTCACGGCCTAGGTTCTTTCACTACCTCGGGGTCAAGGCTTTATGTGAGTGACCAAATGATGTGTTGTGGGTGGAGATGTAGATGGAAGGTGAAACGTAATGAAATGGAGAACAAGTGCGTAAAGTAAAGGTGTTTAAACTTAAATATAATTTAAAGACAAATGCATTAAGTAAAGTGCGAAAAATAAATAACGTAAAGACGAGAATTAAAGTGCGATAAAATGAATCAAAGCGATAAGTAAAGCAAGAATGAAATGAAAGCGATAAGAACGATAAAGTAAAATGAACTTGAAATTAAACTTAACTGAAGTGCGATAATAATGAAACGTAAAGCAATTGAAATAAACTTGAATTTAAATGACAAGAAAATATAAATGAACGAGAATTTAAACTTATACTAAGAAAAGGAAGAACTTGCTACACTAAGTAAAATCCTAAGTCTAGGAAAAGAAAAGTGCGAGACGAAAAACAGGTTTGTTTGTCTGATGTTGTGTGTCTGATGTCTTCATCGAGCAAGGTTTATATAGGACACTCGTCAGCCCATGGGCTGGCCATTGAATAGCCAAATGTCAACTCTTCTTAAAAATCTTTCCTTTCAAGGCCCCCCTAAATCCGTAGGATTGCATTGATATTCTGACAGGCTTGATTCTTCCTTGCTTTGGAACACTCGGAGTTATTATAAAAAATCCCTTGATTTCTTTCCTTGTGAGGCCTCCGTCACGTGCATATAGTCCTCCGAAAATCTGGGCGTGAATAAGTGGCTTAAACTTAGGCCTCCGATTTCTCTTACGTTGCCACCCATCTAATATACATTAAATTTCAAATATATATGTATATATATATTTATATCAACACAAAATAGGATGAGGAGGGCTTCAATTTGAGAGCCTGGCCGCACATGCAGGTTCATTGGTTTACATATACTTATATATGCATACAAATAATTATATATATATAATGATATTATCAGTCCCCTTCTATTGAGGGATCCCTCAAATAATTTTATTTGAGAGACGCCCTTTAGGGTACCTTACAATTTTTTTCCCAATGATCCAAACCATATATTTTTTAGGTTTTCATTAATAGATTATCCTTACAAAAAATTAGACAAATTGGAAACCGTTTCGACATCCAATTGTGTCATCTAAAATCAATGAACACGATTCTTCAAGAAAATACTAAAATTTCAATAACTCAATTGAATGGTCAAATGATATCGGATTTAAGTGATTTTTTGTAGAGATGATCTTTGAATGAGTATCTACAAAATAGACGGTTTGGATTAGTGAAATACAATCCGAAGTGGGCCCTACAAGGGGTGTCCCTCAAATAAGCTTATTTGAGGGATCTCTCAATGGAAGCTCTCTGTGATATTATATATATATATATATATATATATATGCAATATAATATCACAATGGAAGGCTTCAATTTAATGATCCCATCCGCATGGACCAAGCATTCCAGCCGCACTGACTTGATTCATTCACCCATATATGCATATATTAATATATATATATATATATATATATATACAGTCCCCTTCTATTGAGGGATCCCTCAAATAATTTTATTTGAGGGACGCCCTTTAGGGTATACTACAATCGTTTTTTTAATGATCCAAACCATCTACTTTTTAGGTATTCATTCATAGATCATCCTTACAAAAAATTAGACAAATCGGACACCTTTTCGACATCCAATTGTGTCCTACAAAATCAATGAACACGGTGCTTCAAGAAAGTACTAAATTTTCAATAACTCAATTGAATAATCAAATGATATCGGATTTAAGTGATTTTTTGTAGAGATGATCTTTGAATGAGTATCTACAAAATATACGGTTTGGATTACTGAAATACAATCCAGAGTGGGCCCTACAAGGGGTGTCCCTCAAATAAGCTTATTTGAGGGATCTCTCAATGGAAGCTCTCTGTATATATATATATATATATTAGGTCAATTAGTTTCAGCCCAACTTGCCACGAAACCAAATATCCCAGCCTCCATTCTCCAAAACAAAAGCTCGGCCGCAACTTTCATCTCCCAGCCCAGCCGTGTATTCTTCCGCCCAAAAAGTTCAGCTTGCGCATCGCTTGGGCATTTCTAGTCGCCCGGTATTCGGCAGCCAAAATTTCAAGACCCCAGCCGTGATCTTCCAACAATCCCGGCTGAGATTCCAACTCCACTCGAACTGCCCAGCCGAACCTGGCTGCCCGCCTCCATACCCAACCGCCCAATTATCCGGCCGTAGCCTTGCAGAGGGATCCGACCGCAATATTTATATTTAGCTCCAAATCCGGTCAGCCGCAAAAACCCTAAGCTCCTAGCAGATCCGGTCGCGTTTTCGAAAGCCCAAGGACTCCGAAACACAGCTGCCTATTTTCACCTGTGCCCAGCTAATTCTCGTGCCCGGGTTAGGTGGATTTCTACCACCCCTAAACACTTATGCATGATTTATATTCATATTCACGGGACAATGTAATTTTATATGAGACATTGGAAGAAACTTACAATATCATGTTTACAGCAGCAGCAGCCCCAACAATGGCCGCGACAACTTTGTAAGTGAATTGATAGAAGACGGATATCTAAAAAATTACAATTGCAAAATAAATATTAAAAAAAACTTTGTAAGTTGTGCTAACATGCGTGAATAAAAAAAAGGCCTCTTGCATGAGCCAAAGCGTGTGCAAAAAGGCTTATAAAAAAGATGACCTTATAAAAAAGATCCAACGGCCCAAAACGAAATCCAACGGCCAAAATGTTAATTAACTAGTCTAACCTCAAAATTATCCTAAAGTACATAAATACACACTTTTTTGTTCCTAGGATGTGTGTGTTTGTCCTTTATCATTTATGAATTAGATTTTTATTTTCAAAATTAGATTTTTTTTTAATGTTAAAATGTTCAGAAAAATAATTCATGATGGTATAAACCAAAATTAACTTAAGAAAAACTAAACACAAAATAATTTTAGAGTTAAACAATTCTTAAATAATTAATAAAGTTACGGACTTAAATTTTGAGTCCTGCAAAGTTGGAGGAAAAAACTGTTTGAGTCCGGACAATACATGAATGGTTGTATTTTGAACAGGGGAAATTTGGGTTTAACCCTATTTGAGTTGGTTGAAGAAAAAAACAATTTGAAACTGAACAATACATAAATAGTTGTATTTTAAAGGGCAAATTACTTAAATGGTCCTCAAACTTGTACCCGATTTACATTTTGGTCCATAAATTAAATTATTAGTCCAAATGGTACATAAACTATATTTTAATTGTCCATTTGATCCAACCGTTAGATTCTGTCAATGTTGCCGTCAAATTTAAGGATAAAACCGTCCAAACCGTGTAGAATAGCTAGCTCTTGAAGCGAAAAAGGCGCCATTCGAGGGATCCACCTTCTTCTTCAACGAAGGCTGCGATGTCTGAAAGTTCAACAGGTTCAACTGATCCAATCGGTATTGCTTTTGTGGGATGAAGATTAAACGGCGCATTTCATGGACAGATCTGAACCGGGAAGAAGGTTTAAGGCATGCGACCAAAATCGAGTAAGATAGAGTAAGGGTTTTGTTATGTTGAAGTGAAGAATTGAATGGTTTGCTGGGCTCTGATTGATTGTGTGTAACAAATGATGTGCAGAATAGCCAAACAAGACATCATTTCTTTGAATGGCTGGATAATGAAACATGTCCAAGAGGAAAGGAAGTGCTTCCTGGATTGCTTAGAAGACTCAGAGGTATGGAGGAATAAATTAGAGCAAGAGATGAGCAACTGAGATTAATGGAAGCAGAGAAGAAAAAATTGGAAGAGAAAGTGGGTGTTGTTATTGAAGGAAAAAAGGAATTGGAATGGAGTAGACAGAGACAATTGAAATTGGGGTTTGCTTTGATCCTTTCATGGTGTTTGTTTGTAATTTTGGTGATGAGTAGAAAGATTTAGCTATGAATGTTAGGTATGTAATGGCCTTTTAGGTTTGTAATGGGATTATAGGTATGAATGTAATGTGGTGTATGTTAGCTAGGAATGTAATGTGGTGTATGTTAGCTATGAATGTAATGTGGTGTTTGTTAGCAATGAAATAGTTTGTGGAGTATTTTAGGTAAACCAATTCCATAACCAAAAACCACACCAATTCCATAACCAAAACCAATTCAATAACAAAAAACCAATTGCATAACCAAAAACCAATCCCATAGCCAAATACCAATTCCATAACCAAACTGCACAACATAAACCAATTCCATAACCAAACTGCACAGCATAAATCAATTACATTACCAATATGTAGAGTTAACTCTAATCCACAAGCTGTGATTCCATAAAATTACATCCCAAATTACAGAACCTAAACCAATAGGCAGAGTGTAACTCTAATCCAAAAGATGTGAATCCACAAAATAACATCCCAAAAGTTGTGATCCTATTGTTTGTACTGTAAGCCAAATGCAAGGCCTTTACATAACCAAAATGCATGACCTGAACAAAATCCACATCCCAAATTACAAAAAATATATATGATTCCCCTTGCCTTGTGAATGATTATGGTTGTGATAGAACTTCTTTAGGCCTTTTGAACGTTCCTCCTCCAATAGCAACCTTTTTAATGTTCCTCCTCTAATAGCAGCCCTTTTGAATGTGCCCCCTCTAATAGTTGGAAGTTTGAATATGGAACCAGGTTGGGCAGTGACAGAAGTTGAAGATGGATTTGAGCTCTCTTGTGTAGGTGCAACTGACTGTGACAATGGTGTATTTTCCCTTCCTCTTGCCAAACCTCTGACCATAGTTCTTGGCAAACCTCTTCCCACACCTCTTGCCAACTAAAGAAAGAGGACCAATATAAATTTTGAACTATATTGCAAACAAGTAAGTGAGCATATTTGAAAAATAAACCCCAAACAACATACACTTTGTTGTGAAGAAGTAGCAACTTCAGTTGCAACACTTGGAGCCTCATTGGCTCTTCCTGTTCCTCTAGCCAACCTTCTTCCCATACCTCTTAGCATACTTCTTGGCCAACCTCTTATACCTCTTGCTACCTAAACAAAGAGGACCAATATAAGTTCGCAACTAAATTGCAGATTTGTGAGACAACATATTTGAAGAAAAATACCCCAAAAAAAGTACACTTTGGTGTGAAGAAGTAGCAACTTCTTTTGGAACGACTGGAGCAACAGTTGGAGCCTAATTGGCTATTCCTTTTCCTCGTCCTCTGCCCCTTACTCTAACTGCCCCTCCGTCACTGTGGATCTCATTGGCTATTCTTCTTCCTCGTCCTCTACCCCTCACTCTCACTGCCCCTCCCTAAGTGTGGACCTCTTTTTGGGCAGAAGATGCATTTGCCTGCAAGAGCACAAGGAATTATTACTTCCAAAACATGTAACAGCTCTAAATTTGCATAATAAATAATTACTTGTTGATTTTCTGAGCTTTGTCAGTCACAAATTGCCCTATTACGGCCACTTTGACCACATCTCCTACATGTGATCTTAATAAAAAGTCTTCTAAGCTTGTCCTTTGGTTGAACATAATTTGGAGGCATTGGATGTGGTGGGGGGTGGTGTTGGTACTAGAATTTCAGCAGGTTATTTGGCCCTACTTTTTTTGGGCCTTCCTGGCTGTGCCCTAACATTTGGGGGATATATTGGAGGATGCCCAGACTTAGCCCACTGATCCATTGAAGTGATTGGGTGAATCATTGGTTCATATGACTTCATATAAGTTGCAGGCTTGTAACATTCATCCACATAATCAATGGGGCTTTCATCCTTTTGAAAAATTGCAGAAATTGCATGGCCACATGGTATCCCACATAAATCCCACCTCCGACAAGAACATGTCCTTGCCTTAAGATCCACAACAAATTCTCCACCATACATGTGGGTCACTTGATATGTTTGGAAGCTAGCCAGTCGAGGAATGCATGTGGAGGCATCTAACTTGTTCTTCTCAATTATCTTGAAGATTCTTGGGCCAACTGGATGTTTCCATTTCGGACATGCAGCGCTTCTATTTGCCATCCTAAGCATCACAAGGACTTTTATCCTCTCCAAGAAAGTCAAAATGGACTGATCTCTTGCATCTATTATTGCTGAATTGAAACTTTCACAAAGATTGTTCAACAAAAGATCGCACTTAAACTGTGTATTAAAGTGAGATCTGCTCCAATTCTTTGCAGGTCTCTGACTGAGCCATTTCCACGCTTCCTCATCCTCTTGTTTCATATTTTCCATTTCTGCTTCCCACCAAGGCATAGTTGTGGCTCTTGCTGCAGCCCACATTAGGTGTTTTAGAGCAAGACCAGAGTGTGATGATTTAAAGTTATTATATAAGTGTCTAACACACATCCTGTGCTCTGTAGTTGGAAGTAGAGTCTCAAATGAGTCCCTTTTGCTTGTCACTAATGAACACATATGACAAACTATTTGTAATCTTTAGATCTTCAATCAACAGCCTAAGAAACCAGATCCACGATTGTTTGCTTTTGATCTCAACAACTGCATAAGCAATTGGGAAACTGCCATTGTTCCCATCCAACCCTACTGCTGTCAAAATCTGGCCAGGATAAGGACCTTTTATGTGGCACCCATCAACACCAATAATTGGTCTGCATCCATCTAAAAACCCTTGCCTACAACTAGCGAAGCGAACATACATCCTTAGAAAGATAGCTTGGCCCCCCAATTGTTCAGTTTTAATTACAACTGTACTTCCCTTGTTTGCTTTCTTCAATTCCTCTGCATAATCCCTTAACCTAGCATATTGTTCTATGTAACTCCCTTCAATCATTACTTTGGCCCTCCTTTTGGCTATGTATATTTGATGTCTTGTGACAAGCATACAATAATCCTCCAAAACATCCTCTTGCAATGATTTCACATCCAAGTCTGCGTCTCTCTTCAGCTTCTTAGAATACCTGTTGCAAAGCCACTTGGATGAGGCATACTTCAACTTGTCAACCCTCCCACAAGTGTGTTCCAGGCTCATATTTTTGATTACAAATGTAGATTCACTCTTATCTATCTTTGAAGCATATAAATAAAATGGACATTTCAGTCCTCCCATACATACTACCTGGAGCCTCACTTTGTCATTTTTTTTATAAAAAATTTTAGCAACTTGCCATTTATAATTGCATACTCCTCCACAGCTTCTTTCAATACCTTTTTGTTTGCAAATCCCATTCCCATCCTAAACTCTGGATTCCTTAAATCCACCTCTCTCCTGTACTCCTTCAACTTTGGCAATTTTTTATTCTTTCTTTTGCCCTTTTCCTCACCATTACCCTGATCCTGATCCTCTTCATCACTTCCTGTGTCCAACTTCGATGTGTTAGCACCATCAGATGATACCTCTCATGGAGCTTCATAAGTAGCCCCAACTTTCTCATGTCCATGGGGCTGAACAGTAGGCCTAACATTCTCACCAGCATTGGGGTCAATAGTAGGCTCAACATTCTCACCTACATTGGGCTGAACAGTAGGCCCAACATTCTCACCAGCAGTGGGGTTAATAGTAGGCTCAACATTCTCACCTGCATTGGGCTGAACAGTAGGCCCAACGTTCTCACCTGCATTGGGCTCACCATTTGGGCCCCCAACTACCACATTCTCAGCTACATGCACCTCATCCTCTTGTTCACTGAATTCATAATCACTATCCACAAAGTCTGCATCATTTTCCTCATTTTCCCCTTCATTTCCAACCTCTCCATTCTCAGTTGCTGCAGCCTCATTTTCCCATTCATTTCCAACTTCTACATCTGCATCTGCATCCCCTGGTTCACTGAATGCGTGCCATGTGACACCCTTCCCATCATTTTCTACATCTGCATCATAGTTATAGTCTGCACTATCCAAACTAGGCCATGCAACAGATGCTTGACTCCCAAGCCCATTACAATTTGAATTTTCCAAATCTGTATAGTACAAGACAAGAACCCTATTACATGGCATGCATCCAACCATTTCAACTACTTTAGCATCAGAGGTAATAAGCTCCAATATGTTACCATCCTTTTCTCCAACCTTTCTATACCTAATCTCCATAGTTTGCTCAATTTTCGAAACATCTATTGTATACCCCAACTCTTTCCCTATCTTCCTTAAATCCAGCAATGACAGAAAGTCATCAACAACGTTATCTAAATAACAGACCTTACCACCTTTATAAACCCCCATTTTCAAACATACCCCCATGGTGCAGTTCAAGAGTGACTCTGTTTAGGGTTTAGGGTTTAGGAGTTTATGGATTTGTAACAGATTTCCTACATCCACTATGCCAAATTTTACTTTACACAACACCACATAGGCATCGAAAAATTTAAAAAACCGATGTTGTTAGTATCTTAGGCATTGATTTTATAATTAATAAGACTAAAAGGATATAAAGGCATCAACACAAATTTTTGACGTTTCTTACCGATGTCGTTGATTATACTTTAGCATCGATGATATATTATACTGATGCATAAAATGATTTTCAAGAAATTTGTTTTAAGTGGAACATTTAGCACTGATGCCAAAACTATGGTTGACCACTACAGTGATTTTTTGGCAAAAAATTTTCACTCCCTCGCAAATATTTCAGACTGCTACAGTCTTTCTTTTTAAGGTACAACAAACACGTTAGCTGGACACCTATTTGGTAATATGTTGCAAGTATTTTTCTCTAACAACAAATGACTTGGAAAGATAGTCTAGAGTCCTAAATCTTTGCATCATGAGGAGGATATGGTTCAGTGGATAGATAGTTAAGGCCATGGGCTAAAGCTTTATAGGCTGTTCCGTTTGAAAACCATAGTTAGGTTGGTGCATATCTCTGTGTTTTGACATGGGTTTATCAAATTGTTATTGGTTCTTGAATGCTTATGTGATCTTGATTTATCATTGACTGAAATAACTCCAAGAGATTATCTACATTGATTCCCATTTGTTTCTTCAATGCCAAATTTAACTACTATATTGTCTACTCATTCAAATCAGAAAGTTACTTCTTTTGTAACAATGGAGAAATAATCCTTTTACTATATGGTAAACTGATATGTGATCATTCCCTTTCCCTTTTTTTATTCTTCACATTTTCTGGATGTCAGGAAGATGACTGCATAATCAAGCAAGTTGGGAGACCCGGTGCTAAAAGATTGTCTGTTCTTGCAAAGTTCTTACCAGGGTGAGGAAAGCCAATACTCAGTTGAGTGGTTGTGGCAAATCCAGTCAAGCAAGGAGAAACTCAATGGCGAATCAAGTCAAGCAAGGAGGAGCTGAATGGCAGTTAATGGTGAATAGCAAGGTGGAGCTTAATGAAATTCTGTATTTTTTCTCTTTTCCAAGTAAGTTTTTGGTTTTTAATGTCATAATTGTAATATCCTTGTTAAAAAGGTTGACCACTTGCAATACTTGGTCTGTTTTCAGTATGAAAATATTAATGTAATAGTCCTAAGGATAGGTACACCACTTGCATCACTTTCTGTATTTTCATTATGAAAAGATTAATGGAATTATTGTGTATGGTGTATTCTCATTATTTTCGGAAGTGTTGAATATAAGTATTTCCATTAGGAATGTAATTCTTTTATTTGAGAAACAATGAATATTTGAAAACTAAAAAAAAAACCAGTGAATGTTTGAAGGGAGCTTTAGTAATATACCCAAAATGGGACCTGAATTTATAAAAAAACCCCACATAGAATACACTTTATAAACACACCCAAAATCCATTTATTATATAACAAATTAGTGTTCAAGTTCCTATAAATTACAGGTCTGCCACTACCAAGCCCAACACCAAACAAACTCAAAAGACACCCAAAACAAACCCAGCCCAAACTTATAAACAAGCCCAAACCGTAACTTTCGTCCAAAAAAAAAGTAAACCGTAACTTAAAAAAAAGTAAACCGTAACTTCCAGCACGCGCACTTTCATTAAACGTTCTCTGCAAAACGTCTCTTCACTTCACTCATCGTCTTCATCAATTCGTCTTCATCGTCGTCGAAACCGAGACTCCATAACCACCAACAAGATTGATCTCGTTTCAAAAACAAACTCCAGACACTGACCAAGACAAAATTTCAGAGAACCATTTCAACAAGAAAACGCTTCAAAGGTAAGACATTTACAAACCAAACCTTTACTGTAATATTGATTATTTGCTATAAAGATCCAGTCTAGGGTAATAACAGTATTTTAGATTCAAATGAAAGACAAAATCTTGAAACTATATTGGATTTCACTATAGGACTGACTGCATAGGACCATTACTCTAGTCACTAATTTAGCGGCTAGCATGCTGATTAATGGCTATAAAGTTCCAGTATATGGTAATAACACTGATTGTTCCCTATGAAATACTATTTCTAAGGCATGTCTACCACTGTCAAGTTCCAGTATAGATAAAGTTCCAGTATATGGTAATAACACTGATTGTTCCCTATGAAATACTATTTCTAAGGCATGTCTACCACTGTCAAGTTCCAGTATAGATAAAGTTCCAGTATATGGTAATAACACTGATTGTTCCCTATGAAATACTATTTCTAAGGCATGTCTACCATTGTCAAGTTCCAGTATATGGTAATAACACTGATTGTTCCCTATGAAATACTATTTCTAAGGCATGTCTACCTCTTTCAAGTTCCAGTATGGGGTATTAACACCGATACTTTACTGTCGTGTTCCTATTTCTAATGCAGGTATACCAATTAAAAGATGAAGAAAGAAAGAGCCAGAAGAAACTCCAAAACAAAAGGCCAACAGTCATCATCCAAAACAACAACAAACAAGAAGCCTAGCAGATGGGAGGACCCAAATTATGTGCAGATCAAGAGCAACATGCTCTCTTTTGCAACAACAATTGACAACATCAGACAGAGACTTGAACGTCGGCACGATGTCTTAACACTGCTATCAAAGACACCTTTTTGGGCATTAATAGAAGCATATATCCAGAGAAGGTTAACAAAGGTAGAGTGCATGAAGTCTAACTACGACATTGTGAGACTCATACAAGTTTATGACACAAAGACAAAGAAGTTCAAGTTTAATGATGTTGACAGCGAGATGAAAAGCAATGATGTGGCTGAAATTTTTGGCTTGCCAAACAGTGGCAAGAAGTTACCAAGCACAACAACCTCAACAAGGCCAAAATTGCAGTTTGTAGAGAAATACTTCGCGCGGTATAAGAAGATAACAAAGACTTCAATTGATAAGTGCTTGAATTTAGCACTTGAAGATGAAACAGAAGAGGGTGCTATGGATGTAACAAGATTGATAATCCTACAACTCTTCATGACCAATCTATTCTGCAACTCTGGTTGTACACTTGCTTGGACATATACAACCACAATAGACACCTTAGAAGAGATGGGGAAATATAATTGGGCTCGAGGAGTTTTGGACTACATGTATTTTGGATTAGAACAAGCAAAGAAGAACAAGAAGGACAAAAAAAAGCAGCCAAGCGTGAGTGGCTGCCTAATCCTAATACTGGTAAGAACACAAATCTCCAAACTGCAAATTCGTAGCATTATTCTAATGATATGAATTGATACTAACCTCCCCATACCTCTTTCCCGGAAAAAATGCATTAGCAAAATTTTGGACAGGGAGATCAGCCAAAAACTTATCAATTATTTTTGAACCGCCATCATCTCTTAATTTTTTCAACGTATCTTGATATTCCTCAACAGTCGGTGCATACAACAACTTACAAAAAAGCCATAAAATATGATCCTTGAAAGAGGAACCAACAGCATGCGGATACTTCTTTTTCAAGTTCTCTTTCAAATGATATAGACAAAAACCATGGGGAGAAGCAGGAAAAACAGTCCTAACAGCATCGATAATAGCACCATGCCTATCAGAAATGAATGTAAGTTGCCTACCTTCATCAACCAAGACTTCAGATATCCTTTGCAGAAACCACCTCCAATTATCCACAGTTTCACCGGATACAATCGCAAAGGCAAAAGGGAATACTTCTACAAGAAACAGAGAACTATATTAGTTAGTTTGAACTGTAACAGTGTTACCACATAAAGCAGAGTAAAACTACAATGCATAAAAATACTCAGATGCAGGGTATGAACAGTATAGAAACTGTTCATACCACTCAATGGAAGTCAACAACTACAGCATTTACATTTGCATAACTACACTGTTCATACCACTCAATGGAAGTCAACAACTACAGCATTTACATTACATACCTTTATTTTCATTCTTTGCAGTAGCTCCTAGAAGAGTACCCTTGTACTTGTTTGTGACGAAAGTACCATCAATGAACAGCATAGGCCTACACCACCGAAAACCATCAATGGAGGCCTTAAAACATATAAAGATCCGCTGGAAACGAGAACCATCCTCGCCACAGTCAAGCACACAATGAGATCCGACATTGCTGGCCTTCAAAACATTCACATACCAAGGCAGGTGAGCATAAGACAACTCCTCATCACCATGCAAATCCTTAGTAGCCGACTCCTTCCCATACCACGCAACATGATAAAGGATATCCAATCCATAATTCTCCTTCAAATCAGTAATCAGCTCAATAGGCCTTACCAAAGGATTGCTACGAACCTTATCTTTGACAATTGAAGACACCAAACGAGACCCCATTGCCTTATTTCTCTTCTCACGGATCAAACCACTGCAACTGTGTGCATTATTTAAGTTCTTAATATAAAAAAATCCATTTACATTCGACTTAACAGCATGCACATGCCACTCACAGCCATTTGATTCCTTCTTAGCACACACAGCAGTAACACGACGAGGCTCATTTTTCAAATATTTCATCTTAAAACCATTCTCAATCGAGTACTTAGCCAACTTATCACGGAATTCACAAACTCCACCCTCAAACTTCTGACCCTCATGAGTAATATAACCCTCCCAATCAGTAGACAAATACTTACGACCTCCACAACTACCATATTTGCCTAAATATTCATTTCCATACTCACTGCTAATACCATCAAAATCCATACTCAAAAAAGAAGAAGAAGCTGCACTTGAATCAACAATACTACCAGTTTGAATTGAATATTTACATGTATCCTCATCTTGTGCAAAACTGTAATTGTTAGGAACAGCCTCCAACAAAAAAGGAGAAGCAATTATGTTCGTATTAACAGTTTGAACATAATTCACTACAGCCTTATCCCTAACAGCAATGTGAATTAATTGATCCTTCGTCAGTCCACATACCATAAACATGATTTTCAAATCATCATCCAATTCAAATAAACAATTGGAGCAATCCGTATAAGAGTACCTCAACTCAAAATGACCTAACTTCAGCTTGAACCTACTACACAACTCGTTGGACAGCCAATCAAAAGTAGTAGTTGAAGACAAAATAAGCATTAAAGTTCCACCACCATAGGTGCACTTTGCCACTCTCGAATCATCCATATCTATACAAAAAAACAACAAACAAAACAAAAATGACTACTAGCAATAACAGTGGATGCCGAGTATTAACAGTGAATTATAGTCGACTCAAAAACCAATAGTGCATAAACAGAAAAAACACGAATATACTCAGATTCAACTGAAAAAACCTCAATTAATATGAAAACCAAATCGAATATCACAAAAGTTTCACCACACCTCAAATCAAAACACAAGAGCAAATCCACAATCAAAACGAATCTGAAATCAATCCAAATTATAAACAAAAAGAAACGAAAACCTAATCAGCAACTTAATTAATCGAACATGAAATCACCAAAAATCAGACTACAATATAATCGAATCCTCAAAAAACGAATATGAATTCACAAGAAAAAATCGAAATACCTCAAAATCGAAGATCACAGATCGCACCAAGCTCCAATCGAGTCTCTTGCAGCGCAATATCAACCCAAAAATTACCAAATCAAACAACAAAGAACAAAAAAATTGAAGCAATAGAACTCCAATCTACACCATACTGAGCTCAGAAGAATCCAAAAAGAAGATCTGAAACCACATCATACTGAGCTTCGTTCGAAGAGGTGAACAAAGCTCGCTTCGTTCGAAGAACTGAACGAAGCTCGTTTGGAATATTCGATCTGCTGAGGCTGCCAAACAGGTTTCTGTTATGAGGTCACCAACGTAAATTTTCAGAAATTCCTATCCTAGCTGGTGAATTTTGGGCCTGTTTCAAAGAATTCAGACCAAAAGGTCAAAACCGTAATCTAACATGGAAAATAAATCCAAAAATTGACAGCTGTTGGTTTTTGGGTTTATTTTGGGTGTGTTTATATGTTTTAAATAGTCTAGGGTTTTATTATAGTTTAATGTCTAGAATTGGGTGTTTCACTAATTTTGTAATGTTTGAAAGGCAAGGATTGAGGCTGGGTTGCTAATGTTTAAATATATGAACACTTTTAAAAGAATATTTTTTACAGGCACGGATGGTGGATAAATTGAAAAAAAATACTGATTTTTATAATCAGTGACATATTATCAATAAAGGACTCCTTTAAAAAATACTATATATATCAGTCCCTAATACTACAATAGGCAATGTTTTTAGTTCCTAAAGAAGCCAAAAGGGATTGATAGCACTCAGTCTTTTTTGAGCCTTTTTTTTAATAGTGATGGCAGACTAATGTTTCTTTTTCTTTTAGAAAATCCGTTTCCCACGGACTATTTGCACTAGGCTGTCAGGATCTGTGGTGGGTTCTACAGTTGCCACATCAGCATTTGATGTTTGACCAGACGATCAATGTAAGAGACAGGGTGAATTGGTCAAATTTGGATACGTTTTGTACCAAATTAATGAAATTGAAGCCTCAATGTCCATTTGGATACAGCACCTAAGCCTCGAGGTAATTAAACGTTTTTTGTCTTAAAATAAATTTTGTAAAAAAATTTCGGGGATGGATTTGTCAATATACTCTTAAAACAGGGCATTCATTTTTGCATTTTCTTTTTCCAAAAAAAAAAAAAAAAAAAAAAAAAAAAAAAAAAAAAAAAAAAAAAATTTGTTTTTTTTCTTAATTCGATTTGATTTAAGATTTTTTTCTTCTTTTAGTGTATTCTGGTGTTTTTTTTATTCAACAAAGTTCAAAAACAAAAAGCATGACGGCATGATTGTGTGGTTTGGGTCCTCCAAATCCAAACCCGAAATCCCCCATTTCCCAAACTAAGCCTAAAACTTTCCTCATCTTATTATTTCATACCTAATATTCTTATAATTCCTAAAAAACTTGTGCAAAGGAATAAATAATTTTGTAATAAACTGCAGACTTTTATTTATTTATGAATTTTAAGAATATTGCTCTTGTAGCTTCACTTCTCCCGCTCTCTCTCTCTCGGGCTCCTCCACTTCCATCATTAATGTTCTAATTAAGTACGTACACGGTACACACCGTTGATTAGATTGTATCTAATTACTTAATTATCTCTCTTCAGATTAACTTCATATAATTAAGATCAGAATTAATCTAAAGCAACGCACAAGTCCATATATGGCAGACAAAGAACCACGGAGGCCTCCAATGGTGAGATCGTTGATAGCATCGGCATGGCTTACGACGAGTACGACAATAATGACGTACGTAAACCAGCGATTATGAAAATAGTAGTATTTGCCTACTAAGCATTCCCTAGAAGGAGACATGCATCAACATGAAGAATGAATTATTCCTTCATGAGCATCTGAACAGTATTTTAGATGAACGAGAAACACGTAGTGTCTTCCTGCTTTCCTGCTTTAATTTCAACACTTGTAAAGCACTACTGTACTGTGGGGCATTTATCTTTGATAACTAAGGTGGAATAAGGTTCTGAGAAAACAAAGATGGCAGACTAATGTTTCTTTTTCTTTTCTGAAATCAGTTTCACGTGGACTAGTTGGACTCGGCTGTCAGGATTTGTGGTGGATTATTTCACAGTTACATCATTATTTGACGTTTGACGAGACGATCAATATGGCTTAATTGAACTATGTAGTCATCAGGAGTAGTGGTATATGTTGTATATATGTGATAGGTTTTTGAACTATGACAGAATTGTTAAAGTAAGATGTATCTTAAGGTTTTATGAAAAATAATGCAAGTTTTTAAGTATGAATAGTCCATTTGGACGTCAATATCCAGGTTGTATGTAAACATTAAAGTGGGAGTGGGTTTCTTGTTCCAAAGAGGCATAAATCGTCTTCCCCAATAAGCAAATTTAAAATAAAACGTCGATTTACCTTAAAACAGTAACATAGAAACAATGATGACACTTCAAATTTATTTTAAAACATAGACGTAGTAAGGCTAGAACTACGTCCATTTTTATTTATCAAATCGACATTGTAAGATTCATTCCACGTAAAATAAAAAAGACACAATATTTAACGAGGTTTGGCCTTACCTACGTCCTCGGAGAGCAACATCAGTAATTTTTCTACTATACGTGTGGCTCACTGATGTTTTTCTTTTGGAGAATTTCTCTTTGCTCTTTTTTCCTCTTCACTCACTCACCCTCTTTGTTCCCTTCCTTTCTTTCCTCTTTACCTGGGCTCTCATTTCTTTTCAGATGGTGTGTCCCACGCAAGGGAAGGATGAAGCCTTTTTATAGGCAAAGTTGATAGCTTCCCGTGGATGTGTAGTTGGCTCTCAAGGGAATATAGCAGACAAACTTCATCACTATTTTTCTTCAATCAATTAGACAGTGGGCTCTATCATTTTTGGGCTCACATTCTTGGCTTCTCAACAAATTATTGAATATGAACGAGAACAGTGTCTTCCTGCTTTACTTTCAAGACTATTAAAGCAAGCTATTGTTCCATCTCTCTCTCTCTCTCTCTCTCTCTCTCTGTGGCTCCAAATATGGCTGACAAAGAACTGGGCGAGGCTGATAGTGTCAGCATGGCTGATGACAATGACGACAATGTCAATACAAAGGAGTGTCAATACAAAGAAGGGGTAGATGTAGAAAATGGGGCGCAATTTGGAAATGTTTGTACTAGGTTGGGACGGAGTGTAAAGGAACTACTATCAATGCAAATAGGAGCGCATCATCAAACAGGGGACTTTGAGGACCCTGATAACTTGCGCTTGTACCAGCAGCTGTACAGCTATGCAACTGAGGGTAAGAAGGGTATCTTTAACGACACTATTGCAAAGAAGCTTCATGATCCAAATGCTAGCATTCAGCTTCTGTCTCGACGGAGCCCCGAGAATAACACATTTGTTCACATAGCTGTGACCTTCGGCCATGCCCAACTAGCGGCTGAGATCTTACAACTTCACAAGCCTCTTTTGTTAGAGAAAAACTTTGAGGGCGACACTGCGCTCCACATTGCAGCCAAACCGGAGATGTAGATGCCACAAACACTCTTCTCAGTGAAGCACGAGGAACAACAGATGTTGAAAATAACGATGATGTATTGACGTTGCTAAGGATGAAAAATAATGAGGAAAACACTGCCCTACACGAGGCCTTGATTGGAGGTCACCAATCAGCAGCCAAGCGTTTGATAGAGGCCGATCCTGCCGTTTCACTGTATACTAATAAGGAACAAAAGTCCGCTTTGTATCTGGCCGCTGAACAAGGATTTGTTGAGATCCTGAAGATCATGAATGAAAGAGCAGTTGACAAGAACACACAAATTCAAGGCAATTCCCCTTTGCTTGCTGCAATTCATGGATGCCATAATAAAGGTACGTACATTCAATTAATAATTCTTTTTCTTTTTTTTAAATTAAATTTTTGTTTATACTTGATTCATTTTCTGACGCCAGAAGTCCTAAAGATAATATCAAACATGGAAGCAAATATTTTGAACTCAAAAGATGAGAAAGGGAGGACTCCACTGCATTGTGCAGCATCAATTGATTATCTACATGGGGTTCGTTTCTTATTAGAATTACGCCTCTCTGATTCTCATCAAATGGATCATGGTGGCAACTTTCCAATCCATTCAGCATCAAGCAAAGGTCATGTCAAGATTGTTAAAGAGCTGCTTCGACATTGTCCCGATTCAAGGGAATTGAAGAACTCAAGTGGCCAAAATATACTCCATGTTGCAGCAAGATTTGGCAAAGACAATCTTGTCAAATATTTTCTCAAAAACGGCGAGTTTCGAATGTTGATAAACAAAAAAGACAACTTAGGAAATACTCCTTTGCACTTGGCAACGGTGTACCATCATCACAAGGTTGTGTACCTTTTGACTTGGGATAGAAGGACCAACTTAAAGGTCGTGAATGGTAGGGGCATGACAGCTCTTGACATTTCAGAAAGCACTTTGGAAACCACTGCATCATCTCATGGGGTAAGTTTGTGCTATATATACTCTTATCATATATTCCTCATATGATGATGATTTTTGGGTATCATAACCAAGGGAATTCCTTGTCTATTTAGTGTGTTAGGTACAAGTCCGCATTTAGCAGTCCTGGTTGGTATATTGAGTTTGTGTTTAAATTGCTGGTATTGAGTTCCCAAATGACGTGGGTTATATGTTCACAAACTATATCACACCTATCTCTTATCACTCTTAAATAAATTGAACAAAGAACTAAAAACGAGAAAATAATAAATGAGAAAACACTGAAAATAGTTAGATTTTATTGATTTCAACTCTATGACTAATATAAATCAGCTGGAATGGAGCATTTCATTAAAATATCCCTGATTTTTAGCATTTATGTTTAATCCTTATTATTTGGGCATCTAATCAATAAAAAAAGGATTCGACCAAAACAAAATAAAAAATCCCACAACGAAAGAAGACAAAGAAACAAATAAGAACATTAAATGTCACAAATTTGGTAAGGTGCCTGCAGTGTGTGTAACTCCATTAGTGTTCGAGTCTCACTGCCAGTAATCCTCGTTAGTGTACGATTTGTAAATTTTTACATAAATTCATACTCGTGGTAGCTGGCAATTGGGTGCCAGGCTTAAGTTCTTCCGGTTTGAGGTTGTAGGTCTACTTTGGCGCTGGTGGTGATAGTAGCCAATCTCCCCCTAAACTTTTTTTCATAAAAAAAGTCACAAATTTGGAAAGAAAAAAAAAAGCATTAAAGTACACCAAATCATTTAAAAAATAAAGTCATTATTATAATTAGATTTGTAGATTGATTAGGCAACTGCTTTAGTTGGATCTTAATCATTATGTTTTAGTTATATAAGTTAGGGTTTTATTGATAGAAAAATAAGGTAACAGGCTGCAGGTAAGAAAAATTGAGTTTCAAGGAGAAAAGCTAAATTTACTATAGATTTTTGAATATATTAATGGTACGACTTGTGCAGACGATACCTGCTGTAAAAGCAGCTCAGAGCAAAACCCAAGAGACCCGAGCAGCCTTAAACCTGAACTTGATCAAATTTTGCTTGAGCCTGGTATGGAAAGAAAAAGCAACAAGCTTGATCGCCAATCACTAGCATCGAGAACTACTGCCGCTCCTGCTGGTAAGATTTGGTACAAAACAGTAGCAACAGCTCGCTGTCTGATAAATGCACTGGTAAATTGCTTGGAATACCCCAAAACTTGGGTGGAAGCAACACGTGACATGCTGATGGTTGTGGCAACCATGATATCAACTGCAACTTTCCAAGCTGTAATTAACCCACCCGGTGGTGTTTGGGGAGAGGATAAAACAAATGGAACTATTCCTTATTGCACCGGTGATAACAGATGCTTAGCTGGAACTGCAGTGGCAGGCAACCACCTCCCAGAAGAGTTCATCATGTTCGTAAGATTGAATACCATCTCGTTTCTTGCTTCTCTCAGTGTCACCCTGTTGCTTGTTGGAGGATTTCCGCTCCAGAATCGTCTAATTATGTGGCTTTTATCAATGGCCATGTGTATCACTCTCTCTTCTATGACATTTACCTATATGCAGGCTCTAGCGTTAGTGATCCCTGATACTGAATTTTTTGATTCATATGAATATGATGATTTATTTAATACATCCAGTATTGCTTGGGGTTCATTGCTTCTGTGCATCGCTTTAATCCACACCATTCGTCTTGTCATTTGGTTGGCGAGGAAGTTTTGGCGCAGGTTCAAGCATGATATCCCAAAAAGCCTCAGGAGCGCTGTTGATAGTTTGACTGCACCTGCACGTCACCGTACCAACAAATTCTGAGGAGAATACGGCTGTCGTTTCCTAATGTGTTGGAGGAACTACACCGAATTGCTAAAGTAAACCATCTATTTAACGATGGAGAATCTGTTTAAGGAGTACCAGCAGGTTGTGTTTGGCTAGTGAGCTGTGTTCGCTTTGATTTGTTTCTGTTAGAATTTGTTAAGAGTGAGTCAGAATGATAAGTTTGGATGCTTGAGAAGGTTTATGCTTAAGGTATATGTTGAAGCTACTTAATAATTAAAGATTCTGTGGAGCATTTGTTGCTGGTTAATCTGAAATCTATTTTTATTTCCTCCATATATATAAATCTTGTTGGAACGAAAGTGCCATGGGTGAAATTGTTTGAAGAGAAGTGCTCAAACTATAACTGATAGAAGATATGCGGGGAATTTCTCAAAACAATTCATAGATTTTGCAAGATACAAGACACATAACTGATGCAATGCAAAGGTATATATTAATAATTCTAGAAAACTTTGATTATTGGACACAGAATATTAATGCTACAAGACACATCTCTCTTATTTTTTCAATTAATTAACCAGAGATTTCAATGGTTTTGACATCGGCCTTTTTCACCTCTGCTTTGGGAACAGTGACGCTCAGAACCCCATTCTCCATTGCAGCCTAAATCTCGTCTACCTTCGCATTCTCTGGAAGGCAGAGGTGAAGAAGCAAAGGTGGATGAGATTAAGGCTGCAATGGAGAATGGGGTTCTGAGTGTCACTGTTCCAAAGGCAGAGGTGAAGAAGCCTGATGTCAAAGCCATTGAAATCTCTTGTTAATATCGTCTCTGTATTCTGTAGTGCAGGCACCTTCACATTATGTATATCTATGTTTGATTTTGGAGTGTCAGTTGTCATTAATGTTGATATCAATGAAATGAGTGTGAGTGTTTGTAACATAATGGCTTGTAACTTGTTCGTTTTTAATATAAATGGATCGTAATTGAGGCTTTGCCTGGTTCCTGTTTTGAATTGCATTTGCATGTGTTGCTTTTCTGTTTTCAGTTCTCTCAGTTCTCTATTTGAAGTCACATTTACTTTTGTTTCGGAATTAGTCTTTTGATATCTCATCTCTGTTTGCTTTTGCTTTACCCAAATCTTAAGCCTAATCCTCTGGACTCAATAAATAAATAATGATGCCAAAAAAATTAATATTCCCCCGTACCGGCCAAAAAATTCATCCAAGTTTATTGTGGTTATCTAATTCCCCGCGTATAGCCGCACTATTTAGGAAAAACCGAGTAGAGCCGAGCAGCGATACTATTTCCTTTTAAAAAAATCCGTGTATAGCCGCCCGGCTATACTATTTATTTCTGCAAAATTAGGAAAGAACTGAGTATAGCCACCGGCTATACTATTTTTTTTTATAAAGGAAAACCATATTTTTCTCAAAAAAACAAGAGCCCAGTACAGCCCGGCGGCTAAACTATATATTTAAAAAAAATTTAAACAGAGTCTAGCAGGGCGGCTATACTATTTCTTTTAAAACAATTAAAAAACCAGTATAGCCTATTTACTAATAAAAATATAAAAATAGAGCCGAGTAAAGCCGCGCGATTAAAAATCCAAGTATACCCACATGGCTATACTATGTCTTTCAGAAAAATTTAAAATTGGAAAGATTTTGAAAGCCCTTCACAGTTCAAAATTATGATTGTTTTGATTGATAATTTCATTGTTGTTTCTTTTTCTTTAATAATCGAGAATGATATCATATTCTTTTTCGTGGTATCAAGATTTGAATGTGGTAGTCGGTGAAGTCAAGGAGGTCGTCGCGGCGCTTCGTAGCGGCTGGTCTAGAAAAAAAGAAAGAAAAATTAGTCTCCATCTCAGCCCGTGCTTCCTTAGCCTTGTAAATGAACAACTGATTGAATGTTAAGATTTTTCGAACCAAACTCCAGATTGCACCTACACCTCAGAAGATTCTAAAAAATTTCATACGTGTCTTGATTATTAACAATGAATGCTCAATTTCATCAATGATTTAAGAACAAATCGAAAAATTGGCTTAAAGGAATTGGGCAATAGAAAACCCAGACCACAAATTTGAGGAGAGCTTCAACGAATTAAAAAAAATTTGGAAAAACCTTACAAAAAAATTGAAAAACCGAGTATAGCCGATCGGCTAGACTATTTCTGTCATAAAAATTTCGAAAAAATTGGAAAAATCGAGTATAGCCATACGGCTATACTATTCCTGTCTGAAAAATTAGGGGAAAACCAAGTCTAGCCGTTTGGCTATACTATTTCTTTTAAAAAAAATTTGAAAAATCCGAAGAAGCCTGATGCCAAAGCCATTGAAATCTCTGGTTAATATCGTCTGTGTATTCTCTACTGCATTTCACATTATGTATTTCTTTGTTTGATTTTGGAGTGTCAATTGTCATCAATGTAATGAGTGATTTCTTGTAACATAATTGCCATCATGATCGTAATTTTGCTAATTTGTGTTTTGCGTTTTTGAGGCTTTGCCTGGTTCCTGTTTCTGAATTGTATGTGTTGCTTTTTTCTGGTTTCATGTTTTAGTAAAATGCTTCTTCTGTTTGAAACTTTTTGAGTGGCATTAAACTTCAAATTATTTTGCATTGTGATCCTAAGATTTCTTATGTTCAACTCAATCTAAAGTTACATTTACTTTTTCGCTTTTGATATCTTATCACGGGCTTTGTTTGCTTTTGCTTAACCCAATTCTTAAGCCTAATCCTCTTGAATCAATAAATAATGAAGCAGCAGATTTGGGAATCATAATCCTAATCCACCTAGTTTTTAACTGGAATGATCCATGACTTTCATAATCATCAGAATTTTCATACCACTTTGGTGAGGAACATGTCACAGTATTTTCGCACTCATATCCTTAACATGACGGTAAATAATATAATGAAATTTGTTTGCTTTCTAAAGTTTAATGGGAAGACTAAAGATGAATCGCTTCATCGATTTTTGCTTTCTTGACAGCTTCAATAGTTGTGTGAGGAAAATCAATATCATCTTAACTCTTCTATGTATCATTTTAGATTATATTCATGAGATCATTCAGGTTAAGTGTTTTCATAGTTGCATACGGATCAATCGTTGTATTTAATTTGTTTATATATAAATGAGTGATGATCCACACCAACAATGAAGGTGTAGACAAGGACGGAACTGTGTATAGGCTGGCCCAATACAAGATGTGTGAAATACTAAACTTGGCTCAACCCATGTTTGATGTCTCTGTTATAATAAACCAATCAAAAACATCATGAGATATTTGATTATATATTGTCGAATTCGTTTCACTTGCAATGCAATATTTGTTTTATGTTTTTTTTTCTTTTGGACAATATGTGTTTGATTTGGTGTCTATATAAACATTATTTTTAAAAAAATTATAGGGCTTATAAATCACTCATTGAAAAACAAATATTAACCCACTCCTATAAAATTCCTGAGTTTGTCCTTGGGTGTAGAATTTGGATTTTGAGACGTGGGAGGATAAATTGGAGAGAAGGAGATAAAGGTTATGAGTAAAAGAGTTTTGGAGTGGTGAAAATATGGCAAATATTTATAAGAATCAGTGTAGAAAAAAAAATTAACGCAACCAGCTCATGATTTGAGACCCACCGCTACCTAAACTCTTTCAATACATCTTAGGCTAACTCTTTAATTTTGAGGCAAGGCTTAGGCTAACTCTGTAATTTTGGGGTAAACTCGAACTTTTTTTGTCTGTCATTGTCCAAACTCAGGTTTAAATATTAATGAATTGATTCATGTAGCAACAAGCTAATTACGTTCTTAATTTACTTTTTAATATGAATTTGATCCTAATTTCATAAACAAAACCTGGCCATTTAACGAATTTTAAAGTCAAATTTGATCAAAACATTGGATTAAGCAAAAAAAAAGAAGGTACAAAAGCATAAAAGGCCAAGAAATACAATGCTACAAAGGTAACCAAACCAACACAGAGCCCCTATGGACCACAGACTAACTAAACTAACATTCAGAAAAACAAAAAAAAAAAAAAAAAAAAAAAAAAAAAAAAACAAAAAACAAAAACAAGAAACAAGAGCAACCATGAAACCAGCAGAGAGAAACGAAACAATAATCATAGAACTTCCCAAGTACAGCCCTGCAAGATTGGTCATGCTTTGTTCGATATAGACTACAGCGGGTATAATTCAGCAATTGAGGCTTCATTAACAGAAAATGACAATGATTTGCTAGTTGGTTGGTCAGATGAGTTAGTTCAACTATGCAGGACAAATGCTGGCTTTTTGAGGTAATGCCTTGGTGCCAAATGCTGGCTTAGCATGAGAACTGTGGTTCGCATTGCGGGTCTTTCATCTGGATTTTCCTGAACACAGAGTAAACCAATATGGACACATCGAATTACTTCATTATTTGCATAAGAATCTCTTACATTTGGATCCAAATAAAGTAATGTGAGTCCAAATATCAGTATGAAAATGTTGAAACTCATGTAGCAATCAGTGTCTCATCTTATAATTCATAAACAGTGTAACCAATAATTCACATCTGATATCAATTCGATATCTCAATCAACCCGTTTATGCTGATTATGTGAACATTAACAACATGGATTTCAATTCAGTGTTCAAACCGAGCGAAGCTAGTGTTGGCAAGAATCGTTGTTATATTACACACACATTGATTCATATAACCACAAACCCATGAAGAAGATTCAACCCAGACCCACCAAGAGGATGATGATTATGATGAGGGTAATGACGAAGACGACGACGTTAATGATGATGATGATAGTGTTTTATCACTGCATGGGAAACCCGAGTATGGCCGTGCGGCTATACTATTTCGTTTAAAAATACTGGTATGGCCATTTGGCTATACTATTTCTTTTGAAAATTTAGGAAAAGCCCAGTATAGCCGCCCGGTTATACTATTTCTTTTTAAAAAATTTGAAAAATCCGAGTATCACCGCACAGCTATACAATTTCTTTTGAAAAATTAGGGAAAACCCGCGTATAGCCGTTCAGCTCTAATAAAAAAATTTGACAGAGTCATTGTTACATGTTGGCAAGAGTCGTTATATTTACACTCACACATTGATTCATATAACCACAAACCCATGAAGAAGATTCAACCCAAACCCACAAAGTGGATGATGAGGAGACTGATGATGATTATGATTATGATGATTGTGGGAGCATATATTTTCGTCTCCAATCACAGCGCGCCACGTGGAAAAGAAGATTATCTCTTTTAATTAATTAATTGAACCAGTTTATCTGGCCAATTAATTGATTGGGATAAATGTCTTAATTAATGGGATATTATCTTTATTTAATAAGATAATACCATTAATTTAGATATTATCATAATAAAGAGAAGATAATATGTTTTGTCTTGTTTACGTCGTTTTAATTTTCACACCACGACGGTAATTAACTCCGTCGTGCGTTGTGGTGTGATAATTAAAACGACATAAACAAGACAAAACCATCGTCTTATTAAGAGTAAAATACAAAAACAATCGTGGGAGAGGTAGATCTGGCCCTTTTTTTTATTTTTTATTTATAATGTTTTTCCTCTTAATAAAACAACTGTTTTTTCTTGTTTACGTCGTTTTATTTATACAAATTTATAAATAAACCCAATCCTAGACATGTATTTATAAAAAAAACCCAAACACTATTTAAACATAGAAACACACCCAAAATTAACCCCAAAATCAACAATTGTATATTTTTTGGGTGTGTTTATAAATGGGTTTTGAGTGTGTGTAATGATAGGTTTTGGGTGTGTTTATAAAGTGT